TAAACTTGGGATTATTTTCTCCTGCTAACCTGTCTTGTTGATTATTTGGCCAGCCAGAAGAACCTTAAGGGAAAGGGCAGAGGGAGATTCTCCCTCTTCCCTCGACAACAGCAAGCAGTAGATCCTTTTTCCAATAAGCATTTCTGAGTTTTCCCCATTTCTACTTGCTAGGGGTGGCAAGTAGATTAGTATGCATAAACCACCTGGTTACAGGATGGAACACAAAATGCTAGGAGAGCTAGGAAAGGTCATTTAGCCAAGGACGCCCTCAAATGTTGCCAGGGCACAGGTGCCTCAGATTCCTCCTCTGGAAACCCAATTTACATGTGACTGGTGGCAGCCTTGAGAGCAACCCTGGTTTAAAATTTCCCGGGTAGTCAGAATAAATGATAAATTCAGTTTAACCTTTCTTTACCTGATTTCAAAGCCACATCCTTTTGCCAAATTTTCCTAGGGCACCAATTCCAAAATACCACAAGAATACCTTGGGAAAGGTAGTAAGTTTGTTCTTTCCTTCAGGGCAACAACTAAGATTATAAGAGGCCCAAACTCCCAGTGAACTTTCTAAATAGAGCTAAATACTACTAATACTGAGAACGACAGTACGTTAGGACCTTATTATTCCAATACAGAGAGACAGTTTCCACTGTCTACTTTCAGTCCTTTTATTCAATTTATTTATTTATTTATTTTTTAAGATTTTATTTATTTTATTTTTTCCCCCCAAAGCCCCAGTGGATAGTTGTATGTCGTAGCTGCACATCCTTCTAGTTGCTGTATGTGGGACTCGGCCTCAGGATGAACGAAGAAGTGGTGCCTCGATGCGCACCCGGGATCCGAACCCAGGCCACCAGCATCGCAGCGCGCGCACTTAACCACCAAGCCACAGGGCCGGCCCTATTCAATTTATTTAAATATTGTATTCCCTCCTCCCCAAGTTTGCTGGAGTCTCTCTCAAAACTAACCCCCTTCAAACTAGGGAATTTTCTCAAACTAACAGCCTATTACTGAAAACAGCTGTGCTCAATTTCACCTGAGGAAATGATTAGCAGCGAACTGTCAGCTTGGGTCTAAACAGATGTAACCTATGAGCCAAAATGATGATCTCGATACACATTCCACTTCTCTCAACTACACACACACGCACATGCACACACCAGCCTTCCCTTATATCTTGTATCTAAAAGCTGCAGACCTATCTCCACCCCCAATTCAACCACACAAAATAAGGTACCCACCGAAGATCTAAAATCTTATACTGTCTGCTCTCCACGGAGCTCCCATTATGTAAGCCAGATTGAGGCAATGGTTTACCATTCTGGGCTTCCCCAAGACTAGAGGCACAGATGTTTGCTACCTTGAATCTATTCCGTCCCAGAACCCCGGCTGTCCTTAAGCTCCTTTCCCTTGCCATCATCCCTACCTCACCCATTCCACAGTTTAACACGGGTATAAAGGACACACAGGCCACAATCCTCGATTCTCCACAAATGTGTTCCTCAAAGTATGTTTAGAAAGACATCTTCAACAAAATAAACTAAATCGTTTGTTTAAAAAATGTATATTCTGGGTCCAACTCAAGAATCAGTCTGGGCAAGAGGAAAGTAATCTGTATTAACGAGACAGTGTTAAAAAAAAAAAAAAAAAAAAAGCCAGACAGTCTCTGCCGCCCTTTCCCCATGCCTTAACTGAGTGAGAACCATTGTCTAACCAACCTATCTGTATCACTGTCTAGCCATTACTTTATCTCCTGAGGAATGCCTCAGCAAAGCTACAAGAATTGGCCCATATGAATATTTCAGTGTTATTTTAAGATAATATTTAAACAATCTGTGTAGTAAAATCCTCTTGAGCAGAACATACCAGGAAACAAAAGCTGCTCTTGATGAACAGGTACGCTCATTTTACTAGATAAGAACTATATAAGTTAACCCTTATCCTTACTTCAGCAGTCTTGTATATATTTCCATTATTGTAAGTATCCTCAATTCTTTTTGTAAGCAATCAAGATATAAATAATAAATAGCATTCAAAATCTTACCCTCCTTTTCCTTGCATTCATCTTTCGCTTTGATTCTTTGACAAAGGCGTTAAAGGATGGGACCTCTCCGGCATCAATGGCTTGCTGAATTATGTTCCTTATTCTGGGTTCCTCTGTGTACTGCACACACAGCACAGACTCCATAATCTGATCCATGTCGCCCTTGAAGTCCAGATAGGCCTGTTTAATATCAGCCAGCTCTTCTTCAGAACCTTTGTATGTCTTTTCAAAAGCTTGAATGTCTTCTAGAGATATCTGAACAAATAAGGCACATACGCTTTAACTTTGAGAATTTTATTTTAAATAAAAGGTATACTAATAAAACTAGATTTAGATGTTGAAATGTTTCTCCCAAAATATTAGATTTGCTTCAGTTGAAATTCTTGCAAGGAACCAAATTTTCTCTGCCAAAGCTTTTCCAGAGTTCTCTGTGGTCCAATCTTCCCAACTGCAAAACTGGGACCAGAAAATTTAAGTGAAGTTTCCAAAGGTGAGAAAAGACTCAGAAAAATACTCAGGACTTACATTTGGATATGTAAAATAAAGCATCTTGTAAAAAATTACATCCCCCGCTTTCACTACAATCAACTCAACATCAACAGGAAATTAAAAACTCATTTCACTGTGTGTGCGTGCGTGTATGTATATATACACATAGTTCAACCTAATGGGTTAAATAGGCCTGTTCTCCAGACATATATGTGTATCTCCTGAGGAGTGCCTGTGTGTGTGTTTATTTATATTTCGAGGCCAAATTCCTCACTCCTAGACAATACAAAATGCAAGGCCTTAGAGGCATTCAAAAATCGTTTGTTGAATGAATGATGGGAACGGTCACAAAGAAATCTCCAGAGTCCCCTACCTTTTTAAAGAGTAACCTCCAATACGTCTCCCAGTCCCGATCTTGGTTGAGCACATCAGAATCCTCGTCCACTGTTCCCTGCTCATCGTACACTGCTTTCTGCTCTTTGTCACTTAGAACGGAATATACTCTCCCGAGGATCTGCGAGGAAAGAGCATGCAAGTGTCACTCCCGCACCTCTCACTAAAACCGCGCCGCGAGAAATAAAGATTAGAAAACCCCAGGCTGGGTTCAGCGCACTCCAACCTGGCGGGGCCGGGCGGCCGGTAGAGCGGGGACTCGCTTACCTGGAAGCGACGGGTGGCGTCCTCCTTGTCGCCCTCGCCCACCCGGTCCGGGTGCACCTGCAGGGACACCTTGCGGTAGCCGCGTCGGACCTCGCTGTCTGAGGCCTCGCGTCGCACGCCCAACACCCGGTAAAGGTCGGCGGTGCCGAACACTTCCTCGCACAGCTCCAGCAACCCCATGGCCGGCAACGGTAAGGCGCAAGCGGAGCTCTCCGGCAAAACAGCCCGCCCCAGCGGCACCGGCTAGGGCTCCGGCCTGCTTCCTTTTCCCGCGCAAAACGCCCAGGGCGCCTGCGTCACAAGAGGCGCGGGAAGAGGCGTGGCCAGGACGCCGAGCTTTACGGCGGCTGCAAACGGGGCGTGGCCAGACTGGCGTCGGCCTGGATTGCGGTGCAGCGGAGCCGGCGTCCCGGTCTCTCCCAGCGCGGGAACGTTTCTGCGCAGGAAGTGGGTGTATCCCAGCTGCCACCACGCCCTCTCCTCCACTCACTCTGGACATCCGGCGCCTATCGTCTCCCCAACGTCCCAGCGCAGAAGCTTATTCAGTAGTAAATGGAACGTCCATATTAGGTTGAACCTATACATTGCTGTTTTGTTTTTAAGTAAAAAACGGCATAACATCGGCATTTGGCAATTTCACATGGTTCAACCTAACGGTTAAATAGATTTGTTCTTTTTTCAAAGATGATCCTGACAGGAGTACATAGAGCACTAAAGCCCAAATAATTTTGCCTACAGGTTGGAATTGTTAGGTGGGTACTTCCCTACAGCCCTGCAAGAAAAAAGCCTACCTTAAACAAAAAACATAAAATACTGGTCTTTTAAAAACTCTTTATAGGATTTATAGATTTGACATTTATTACAGAATCATTCCCATTCACCTTCCAGCTCCTGAATCACCTTCCACTTTGGTGGAGATAACATGACCCACACCTTCACCCTAATAAAAATATAAGCTGCTGAAGCAAAGGCTCTTTTTTTAAAAAGAAAAAAAATGCTTTCTAAACTGCAGAGCTGAGTTTGAGCATGTTGGATTTGATGTGGTAGCAAGATAGCCTGATGCAATTATTAACCAAGACATGCTGAGAATCTGGGCCGTGGTGAGATCCAAAGCAAGAGCTAGATAAAACTCTGGAAATCAGGGAGAGGATCAGCTCACAGAAGTACGTCTATACACAGCTTAGGCAAAGGAAAGACCAGGGCACAAAGTGAACACTTAAGTTGGCAGAAACTCAGTAGCTCAAAATAATACCTTACCTTAATCCATTTCACCTCAGTTCCCCTCACTGGTCAATACTTTTCAGAATCACATTCTCCTCTGTTCTACCAATTAAGCTTCTCCAAAGATCTCAAACTCTCCAGGGTAGATTAATATCTTTTAAATTTCCAGAATTCCTATGGTTTTCAAAGCATTTTTCTTCCCTAGATCCAAGATTAAACTGAGGAAAGTCAGTTCCTCTCTGCCTGACCTGCCTTCAAAGTCTCTGCAAAGCAAGTGGAAGCCAACCAGTAACAACCCTGGGGGAAGCTTTGATGACACCAAATTTGAGGTGGCTGGTAATTGTTCTCAGAATATAAAACCCAGAGAATTAAGTTGGTACATTGATAGGGTTTTAAAATCTCTATAAATTCCCCATATCCTAGACTTACACCAGAATTTGAAATCTGTATTATCCAGAGTGTGCACTAAAACCATCTAATCCATGCTTGTGGTTGTAGAATCCTGTGCTTCTGGTGGAGCAGATAATGTGATATTTTGGGTTTTTTGGCACAGCCAGTCATTTGTATTACCAAACTCATGATACCTAAACCTGATTCTATCACTGACTTTTTAAGTGGACTTTTGAAAAGCCCCTCATCTTTGCTTATGCACCCCACTCCCCACTGCCCCCCACCAATATATGTTAGAAAGGGCTCTCCAGTCCTCCAGGTAGGCACACTGGAGTCTGAATCTTAGCTCTGCCCAATATTAGAACTATGTGGTCTTGGGCAAGCTTCCACCTCTGAACCTGAGCTTCCCCATCTGTAAAATGGAAATAATCCTACCTAATTTCATGATCCCTTATAATCCTCACAAATAACCTTGTTTGTAAAGGGCTTAGAATGTATGTAGTTTACTTTACAATATTAGCTTTCTTCCAGGTTTTCATTCTTAACAAGTAGGCTATTACACCCATAACAAATCTACCTTTGTCAATTTAAGATTATGCGTCAAGCAAGACAATATAAATCTGCAATCACAAAAACAATAAGTGAAGTAACTGTGTTCTTGAGCTGGTAGGATGACCATAAATGATTAAGAAAGGAATTACGTGGCTAGGCTATAGACATGCTGGTTGGCGGCTTTGAAACACGGAAGTCTTGGAAGGCAGCAGACTATAAGTCGTCCGAGAGGCCTAAGGCCCAACCCAAATGTCCAACCCACCCCACAGCTACTGTCTTTCCCCAGAGGAGGCTGAAAAAGCTCATCAGTACCTAGACCAAGCTCTACATCAGACAGGAACAAATCCCTCCCTAGGCCCTGCTCAGGACAGGCCAGAAGAGCATAGGTGACTTAAAAAACTCCATTTATTGACCTCTAAATCTGATAAAATTAAGAGCTCTGCACAGGTGTTTTAAGAGGACTTTGACCTTGTTCCCACTGCTCACTGAAGTCAGATTGATTTTGTTTCTATAGCCTCTGTATCTGTTTTCTGAGTGGCTAAGAGGACTTCTCGTGCTCGTTTCCGTCGCAGTCTCTCAGCATTTGTGATCATCATGGGATGCAGAGGGAAAAAGCCTGAAAGACCTAAAAGCAACAGGATTTTCATTCATTACAATACAGTACAAGCCAATGTTTCCCTGGGAATTCAGCCTCACAGAACTGAGGTCTCACAGAGACCTGACCTAGAGCATGGATTTAAAACATGCTCCTCACCCTGCAACCTGTCTTACTTCTCCCCAGCTCCCTCCTCTCCATTTACTTTAAGGAGACAATGGATGTTGTCTACTTCCTAACACTATTCTCCTTACTTGAATAAAAAACAAACTGACAAATGGCCATTCAAGACACACTATTCTCATTTTTACCATAAAATACAAGTCACCCAAAAAGTCCATAAAGGAGTCAGATTCAAAGTGGCAATTAGATCACAACTTCAGCTTTCACTCCAGTCCTGAGCAGCCCAGAGATGATGAAAATCATTCTTTATTCTCATCATCCTGGAACTGACTTCAATTTAAAATCTCTTCAATGAGGTAAGGCTAGAGTTGAGTTACCCAGAAGCTTTTCCACAGGCTTAGAGAGGTGGGCTCCACAGCCGATCCAATGCCGGATCCGTTCCAGGTTGAGAGCAACGAGTTTCTCTCCATGACTGTTGGGCAGTGGATCATAGGAGCCCAGCTGCTCCACAAAACGGCCATCCCTGGGACACTTGTTGTGAGCAGCCACGATGCGGTAGAAAGGCCGGTTGGTACAGCCGCCCAGGGCAAGGCGGATGGTTAAGTGGCCTCCGTGGTAGGCTCTGCAGAGGAGAGTAGCTATAGAGAAATAAGTAATTAAGACAAAAGAACTGAGGGCACAAAACGAAGTAAATGAAACAATCTCCCTCCACTGAAATGTCCTTACTTCCAACAAATTCTTGTCAATCCGGCATAGATACTATCCATGCACTCCAGCCAGAAACGACTTCCTCCTCATCCCCTAATCCCCTCAGCAAAGGCCTGCCCTTTACTGGCTCTGTGACCATGTCGGAGCCTCAGCTGCCTCATCTATAAAATGAATGCCATCTAGCTCATAGGGTTTCGGTGAGAAAAATACTGAGAGGAGGATCATATGTAAAGCTGTTGCAGGTTCGGGCTGCCTCCCGCTCACCTGGGAAGAGCGCTGCCCCACCAGGTCCCGCACCGCCCCGGTCCCGCACCGCCCCCACCCCGCACCGCAGGGAGGTCTCTCGGCCCGATCACTCACAGAGCTGGACCATGGCGCAGCCGGCGTGCGCCGGGCCCTGTGCGCCAGGCGCGGCGTCTCGGAGCTCCCGCCGCCCGCACGGAGCAGCTCCACGGCCTGGGGCGGGGCGGCGGACGGCCGACGCTGCGCGACCGCGGGCCTCACCCCTCCGCGACCGACCGCCAAGCGCCTCGCCGTCGCACGCGGACAGCGCGCCGGCCCCGCCTCTTCCGCTCTCCGCCCCTGCACTTCCCTGAACGTAGCGCGGTGAACCCGACCGAACCCTAAACTGCCGGGGAAAGGCGCGCTCCATTTGCGTGTACCGGGGGTGGCAGTGCGAGCTGAGGCCGGTGGGCGTTGCCGGCCCTCAGTGGCCTGTGAGCGCCTGGGGGAGCGAGGAGTACTGCTAAAAGTGGTAAAGTGCTCCATAAATCCATCCTTGCTGCAGACGTTTTTTGAGCACCTGTTAGGGCCAAAGCACAGTGCTGAGAACGCAAAAATGAAAAGGCGCCGTCCCTTCTCCTAGGAAGCTCAATCTGATGGGGAGACGGTGAGGTTACACCAGCATAACTAGGGGTGGTCAGTACACAGTCCTGGGGGAGCAGAGGAGAAGGTGAACCTGATACTTCCTTGGTGCCTCAGGAAGACTTCATAAAGGAGGTAGCCTTAGGGCCGAGGCTACAGAAGGACTATAAATGAAGAGTTTTATTATCCTTCTGTGTTTACTAATATGTCTTCTGCCTTCCCTCCTAGTATCTCCACCTTCTCTTTTAAAAAATAAAGGAAGGGGAGACTTTATTCCTGATTTCTGCTGTGCAGTGATCCAGGAGGACAGGGGTGAAGTGTGATTTGTCATCTCTAGCCCTAGAATGATGGCCTCAGTTGTGAGGAATTTTGCATCTATTACAGGGTAATGGACTCTAAATGGAGCCCTTGTGGTTTAGATCCATGAAGATGCCTGTGGTCAGAGGGAGTCAGCACCTCCACCGTCAGCAGAGACCTCTCTGTTGAGCTTCTCTGTAGGATCCAAAGGGCCTGGGCACAACTCATATGCTCTTTGCCCTAATGTAGTTGTAACCGCAGGCCCTCTAGGACCAGTTCAGCTGACCCCATCTCTTACTAACAGATTGACTTGTCTTTCATAAAAATTGCAAAGTCATGTAGCCAGAGCCTGTGTAAAAGAAGAAATCATGACCTGAAATGACCTCAGAACTAAAGATCCTCCTCCCCATGGAACCCAAGGACGGTGCTGTGACCAGAACTTGAAAGCTAGACTCTTATCAGAAGCAAGGGGTCCCTCATTCAGGAAGATCCAGTGTTAAAATTCCTTCCCCACCTCATCAAAAATGTTTAGAACCCCATCATAAATGTTGAGAACCTTGTCATAAATGTTTAAAACCTTACCATAGGGGCCGGCCCCATGGCTTAGCGGTTAAGTGCGCACGCTCCGCTACCTGCGGCCCAGAGTTCGGATCCCAGGCGCGCACTGACGCACCGCTTCTCCGGCCATGCTGAGGCTGCGTCCCACATACTCCCACATACAGCAACTAGAAGGATGTGCAACTATGACATACAACTATCTACTGGGGCCTTGGGGGGAAAAAAAAGGAAGAGGATTGGCAATAGATGTTAGCCCAGAGCTGGTCTTCCTCAGCAAAAAGAGGAGAATTAGCATGGATGTTAGCTCAGGGCTGATCTTCCTCACAAAAAAATAAATAAAATAAAATAAAAGCTTACCACAAATGCTCGAAGCCCACCAATCAAAGCCTGTGCCACTAGCATTTCCACGTGCCAGCCTATTCTCCCTAACCTCTTAAATTTTGCCCCAAATCCTGAATCAGGAAGACAGATCTCAGGGCACATGCCCCTTGTCTCCCTGCAGATCGATCTCACAGAATAAAAGCTGATTTCTCCCCGGAAGGCTGATGCCATAATTAATTGGCTTGTTTATGTGCATCAGGCAGAGAACCCCAATTTTGTGCAGTAACATAGTGACCCAGCATAGCAGTCTTCCTTTAGGCCCACCTTAGAAAATGATGCCTTAATTCCCAAGTTCCACTAAGTGAACCTGGCCAAGGACCTTAGTAGTTGACTTCCTCCAGGAGTGATCCTGATAAGCTTTCATCAGAAACCCTAATAATGAACCCACTATACCTTATATTCCTATATATACCTCAGTATACCTTAACTCCAGAACCATACTGATGAATTTTGAATTTCTTATTTCCATTTTTTATTGTCATTCAGTTTACTGTTAACCAGTAAAACATCCAGTAATGTAGCCATCCAGTAAGACAGCCAATGGGAATAAGTGAATGGGTTTCTGTTTATGGTGAAGATTCTTTTGTTCTCCATCTCCAGGCCTCATATGGTGAAACTTCCAGGGTTTAATTTCTCTGGGAAGGAAAGGAGCTCAGAGTCCTATACAGAAAATTCTTCAGCTGGAAGGATATCAGAAAGATGGGTTTCCAAAGCCAACTGTCTCCTGTACCTTGTGGATCTCGGCAAGCAGAGCCTCGTCTTTCAATTTCAGCTGCATAAGAGGAAAGAAGGGAAGAACAGGTGTCATATCTGATATACCTGTGTGGAGACCCCTCATTTGCAAGGCCACAGCTCAAGACCATAATTATTTGGGATGGAATTGGTTCTTCCTATATCCCCTATTTCATGGTAACTCCATTAAAAGACCTCAGAACATTGTGCTGGTTACATGGACATGTTCACTTTGTGAAAATTCATCAAGTGGTATGAACACTCACAATTTGTGCATTGTTTTGTAAAATAACTTTAATAAAGTTTATTTTTAAAGGAGTTCACATTATCACCCAACATATCTTGACCAATGTATAATATTCCCATTTGGCAAGAGACAGAGAAGAATCAAAGACAATAGATCTGAACTTAATTTTAGAATCTAGATGTGTAGTAGAGGTATCTAGTTGCCTGCTGCATACTCACTCTGTCCTTTCTTAATAACAAAATCTTCATTTCTTTTCAAGGTAGCAATGTAACCAGCTAAAAAGCCACATTTTCTGCTTCCCTTGCAGCTAGGGGTAGTCTTATGACCCATGTGGCCAATGAAATGTAAGCTAAAGTCATTGGTCTTTAAAAGGAGGTGAAATAGCTAACATGGCCCCTTTTTTCTTTCCCCCTTTGTGTTCTTTATTGTACCTGAAATGTGGATATGGTGGCTGGAGCTGCAATGGCTGTCTTGCAACTATGAGGGATGGAAACTGCGTGCTATGATGGTGGAGCAGAAAGATAGAAAGAGTTTGGGTCTCTGATGACATTGTGGACTGTGGTATCAGCCCTGGACTTGCATTAAATGAGAAAAATAAAACTCAATTTGTTTAAGCTACCATCTTTCAAGTCAAATTACTTGCAATTCATAAATGACAGAATAGACTAGGGGTTGGCAAGCCACTGTTCATGAGCCAAATCCAGGCTGCTGCCTGTTTTTGTAAGTAAAGTTTTATTTGAAACACAGGCATGCTCATTTGTTTATGTATTGTCTATGGCTGCTTTTGCAGTATATGGCCAGAGTGTAGTAGTTGCAATAGAGACTGTTTGGCCCACGAAGACTAAACTATTTCCTATTTTGCCCTTTACAGAAAAAGTCTGCTGATCCCTGGACTAAACCAACACCTTCATTTTACACATGAGGAAAATGAGGCCCAGAGAGGTTAACACAGTAAGTTAATGACAAAACTAGGACCATAATTCAGGTCTACTGACTCCCAGGCCATCTGTCTTTCCATTAAACCATATTCTCTCAAGAGGCAGAAAAAAGATCCCCCATAGAAATATGTGGGTTATTATTCCAAACCCAGCAGCCCCATGATACTGGCAAAAATGGTAAGAAAAGACTCTAGAAAAATACATCATGAAATGCTGTCAAGTCCTGAATTAAGACAGCACCTTCCTCCCCGTTTCCCAGCCTCCGTCGAGTACAGACGAACAGACAGAGTACAGTGAAGGCACCTGTGCCATACCTTCCTCGTGTACTTGTAGGCCTGCTCAGCTTCCAGGTGCCGACCAGCCTGAGAAAAGAGCAGCAGTTGGTGGTGATGATGTATCATAAACATGGTGGGGAAGTACATCGCCACAACATTTCTACCTAAAGCAGAGTATTCCACACCTCTGAATTCAAAGGGGAAGCAGAAAAATGAAAGGTAGTAGGGAAAAGCAGATTCTCATATATATATCTATATCTAAATGAATGAATGAATGAATGAATGAAAGAAAAACAATCCCTTCTTCATTTCAAAAAGTTTAAAGACAACTTGGCCTCTCATTTTTTTTTCCTGAAAGCACCATGAGTCATTTGTTCTTCTAAGGCAGGATTGAAGCCATTCTGTTGGTAACAGCTAACACTTACATAGTGCTTACTTTGTGGTTTACATTGTTTTAATTGTTTACATTGTTTTAAGTGCTTTACAGTACATACTTTCATTTTTAATCCTCAAAACAACCCTAAGGGATAACTACTATTATTTATAATTCCCAGTTTACAGATAGAGAAACATAGGCACAGAGAGGATAAATAACTTGCCAGGGTTATGAAACTAATAAGCAGAGGAGCCAGGTTTTACAACAATGCAGAGTCTAAGTTTTTACCTACTACACTTTATCCTGTCTCTATGCATTAGAAAAAGCAGATACTGGAATTACTTCATGTAAATCTGGTTAAGAACACTCACTACTCCTCCAAGTTATTCTTGTGTGAAGCACTCATCTAGGCGTTAAATGAGAATAATATAAATTCACTATTATACTTCACAAGTTTGTGCATAACAAATTAAGAGTATACAAAGTCACTTGGGAAAGCTTAAATACATAAATATGAGAACCACAGAATGTTCAGGCTAGAAGGGAACTTAGAGAATATCTAGTCTAATTTCCTGATAAGTGCTAGTCCCTGGTAAATTTGTACTGGTTCACAAAACTTTCATTACCCAAAAGACTTTCCTATAATATCTACACTTTGAAGTTTTCCCACCTGAAGTTCACTGAATTCCATGGGCATTTTCCAGCACATCTTTCTTCCTATCACTATCACCTTTGTTTCACTTCTGCCATAGGGAGGCAGAGGGCCAAATGATGTGAGGATCCAGAAGAGCCAAAACAATTTTGGAAAAGAATGACAATTTTTTTGTTGTTGTTGTTGCTATAGTGGAAAATGCTGCAGTTTACATCCTTGTACATGTCTTCTGGTAATTTCCATGGGAGGAAATGTATCTAGATATAAAATTTCTAAGTTGTAGATAGGAATGTGACTAGATAATGGAATATTGCACTTCAAAGTAGTTATACCAGTTAACATCCACTAGCAATTCTGAGAATCCTTATCAATATTGGTAATATCAGACTAATTTTTGCCAAGATGGATGTGAATTTCTTTCACATCATTATTTTAAATTGCATTTTCATGATTAATAGTGAGGCAGAACTTCTTTTCATACATTTATTGACTTTTACAATTTCCACTTCAGCAAATTGTATATTCCTATCGTGTAACCTTTTTTCTTATTGTAGGAGCTATTTATATAATCTGGATATTAATCCTTTATTAGTTATAAATGCTGCAAATATTTATAATTTAAAAAGTCCTAAAGCTTTATTTTAGTGTCTTTTGTTATAAATGAGTTTCCAACTTTAAAGTTGTTAATTTATTGATATTTTATTTTTGGCTTGTGCTTTTACAGGCATAAGACACCTTGCACAACCCGAGGGCGTAGAGGTATTCTCTATATTTTCTTCTAAACAGTCTCAAGTTTTAAGATTTAAGTCTTTAAACCAGCTGGAATTGTGTGTGTGTGTGTGTGTGTGTGTGTGTGTGGTTTGAGGTAAAGAATTAATTTTTTTATATAGATAACCAGTGACTCCACCACTATTTATTGAATAGTCCATTTGTTCCTCATTTTGGTGGGGCTATATAGTCTTTTTAAAATATCTTTATTGAAGTATAATTTACATACCATAAAATTCACTAATGTTAAGGTTCAATTGTGCAACCATCACCACAATCCACTTTTAGAAGATTTTTATTACTCCCAAAAAGTTCCTTCATGGCTGTTTGCAGTCAATCCCCAATCCCACGCTTAGCCCTATTTTGTCTCTATAGTTTTCCTAATTTCATATAAATGGAATCATATAATATATAATCTTTTGTGCCTTGTTTCTTTCACTTAGTGTAATGTTTCTGAGGTTCATCTGTATTGTTGCATGAATCAGAATTTCATTTTTATTGCTGAGTAGTAGTACTCCATTGTGTAAATACACCACATTTTGTTTATCCATTCACTGATGGACATTTGGAATGTTTCCAGTCTTTGGCTTATTAAATGCTGCAATGAAATAGAGAAATCTTTGTGTGGGCATATGTTTTTACTATGATACCAAGAAGTAGAATTGCTGGGATATATGGTAAGTGTATGTTTAACTTTTAAGAATCTGCCAAACTGTTTTCCAAAGGCGTTGTGCTAATTTGCAACCCCACCAGCAATGTATGAAGGTTCCAGTTTCTCCACATCCTTGTCAATACTTGGTATTGTCAGTCTTTTTGATTTAAGCCATTCTAGTGGGTATGTAGTGTGGTGTTAATTTGCATTATCTTAATAAATTATCTTTTAAATTTTTTGACATTTCATATTAAAGTTACAATAACAGTTCTCTCCTCTCTGTACACACACACACACACACACACACACACACACACATACATACATCAGTATATATTTTAACTTTTCCTGAACCATTTGAGAGTAAATTGCAGACATGATGCAATTTTAGACTTCAGTATGTGTTTTCTAAAATCAAGGACATTCTCTTAAATAACCACAGTACAATTATCAAAATCAGGAAATCAGTATAAATACAATACTAATTATTGTACTTAGCTAATCTATAGAACTCATTCAGATTTTTCCAAATGTCCCAATAATGTCTTCTATAGCAAAAGAAAATTCAAGATCATGCCTTGAATTCAATATTCATATCTTCAGTTTCTTTTAATCTGGAACAGCTCTTGAGTCTTTGTGTTTCATGACATTGGCATTTCTGAAGAGTACAGGACAGTTATTTTATAAAATATTCCTCAATTTGTGTTTGTCTGATGTTTCTTCATGATTATATCAGGTTATGAACTTTTGGCAGGAATACTACAAAGATGATGTGTTCTCCTCAGTGTGTCCTATCAGGAGGCACATGCTGTTTATCCCAATACTGGTGATGGTAACATTGATCATTTGTTTAGATTGTTATCCGCCAGGTTTTTCTACTATAACATTACTATGTTCCCCTTTGTAATTAATAAATATCTTGGGGGGAAATATTTGGAGACTATGTAAATATCTTCCTATTCCTTAAATATTCATCCATAATTTCAGCATACATTGATGACTGTTCCCTGAATTAATTATTATTATGGTGGTTTCCAAATTGTGATTTTCTAATTCCATAATTCCTTATACATTGAATAGTTGGCCTTCTACAGTAAGCTTTCCTTTTCTACCATTTATTTATTTGTTTAATTATATCACTGTGGGTTCATAGATTCTCATTTGTAATCCTTTACTATAATTATTTATTTTGATGGTCAAATTGTCCCAGATAGGGGCCGGCCCCGGGCTTAGTGGTTAAGTGCGCGGGCTCTGCTGCTGGCGGCCCGGGTTCGGATCCCGGGCGTGCATGGACATACCACTTCTCTGGTCATGCTGAGGCCGCGTCCCACGTACAGCAGCTAGAAGGATGTGCAGCTATGACATACAACAATCTACTGGGGCTTTGGAGGGAAAAAATAAATAAATAAAATCTTTAAAAAAAAAAAAATTGTCCCAGATAGGGCCAGTGGGAGTCCCCCCTTTAAGCTAGTTCCTTTGTCTTTTCTTTTTTCCCTGTGTGCTTTTGATATGTCTCAATCTTTCTTTGCGCACTTTTTACTGTGATTCAACAAGATATTCCAGACTCATCTTGTACTTTCCCTCTCCCAGTCCTAGAATCAGCCCTTTTCCAAGGAGCCTCTGATACCTTTATTTTCTTAAACTGGACAAATGCCCTAGTTCCTTTTAATGGATTGAGAAACCAAGACCTGAGCACTACATGTACTCATGCCCTCCTCAACTATATATAATATATATATATATACACACACATATATAAAATCTATCTGTCAAATCATGAGTTCACACTAGTATCTCTAATTCTAATCCACCACTACTAGGTCATTCTGTCTTCCCTGTTTACATATTTATTACTCAATTCTCTGACAGAAACTTGGCTCCCATGATCCACAATATAATTACTTATTTTGTAAATCATAGAATACTTAGTAATTTCAGAACAGCTAACTTATGACTCTGCAAAAAAGCCTACTAATTAGAGCCCAATATTTGTATAGAGTTTTTTTTCTTTTTGTCTGAGGGTATGTATTCTAAATAATTTTTTTAAAGTATCTTGAGATAGTTGTCTTTTTCCCACCTTCAGTGTTATTATGTTATTCAATGGAAATAGTTTTGGTTTTTTGTTTGTGATATGAATTATATGATTCCCCTATTTCTTGTTGATTTTATTTCTTTTTAAAAAAACATATGAAACATTAACATGGTTCCAAAAGTCAGATCTGTACAGAAAGGTACAATCACAGAGTGTTACCCCATCATTCTCTCCTTTCCTTCTACCCTATGCCTGACATGTCCTATAAGACCCACTCTCATTAATCTCTGGTTTTTCCTTCCTCTGGTTTTTTTGTACAAATGAGCAAATCTATGTATAATTTCTTCTTTTTCCTTCTTTCTTATACAAAAGGTGGTATACTATAGAAAGTCTTGCCCTTTATTTTTTTCACTGAACAATATATCCTGGAAATCACTTCACATCGGTTCATATTTCTTCTTATTTTTTTCAGCTGCATAGTACTCCATTATGTGGATACACCATAGTTTATTGAAACATTCTCCTGTGTATATGGTTTCCAATATTTTGCAATTGCAATAATGTTGTAATCAATAACCTTGTGCAAATGTATTTTTGAGTTGCTGGAGGAATATTTTCAGGGTAAATTCCTAGAAAACCCCAATTATTTTTAAATACCATCTAATCAAAACCTAAGTTTCCATATATATGTGGATCTATTTCTTTTTATCAATTATGTTCCACTTATCTATTCCTACACCAATACCACTCAGTTTTAATTATTAGAGCTTCATAATAAGGCTTGATGTTTGGCAGGAGAGCCCTCACTCCTTATTTCTCCACCCATATTGTCATAGCTATTTTTTGGCCTTTACTGGCTAAGTGAATTTTAGGGTTATCTTATCAAATTCCTCACAAAAACTATGTTATTATTTTTATTGAGATTGCATTCAACTTAGATATTTGGGGAAATTTTTCATCTTTGTGTTACTGAAACTTCCTGTCCGTGAACATGGTATTTCTATGTTCAGTAAAGTTTTACCATTTTATCCATACAGGTCTTGAATGGGAACCCTAAAACTTATTTTTTTGAAATGAAAACTGTTTTAATGAAAAAGGAACTCAGGAATGAGGTCATTAAACATAACTAAATACATTTTAAATATAAATACTCTGTATTTCCTGATTAGTATCAGGTAAATATCTAAACAACCTATCCCAAATTCTGGCTGGTCTCAGAGAAAAATGTCAGAGACAATTACAAAGAAGATGCTTCATAGTATCAGGTCCATTTTTAAAACAATAGGATCTTTTGGGAAAATCACTTTAGTCTATCAGAAATTTCTGTCGGTCCTTTTGTTGATAACCCATTTATGTCTGCACTGTTATAGTCTACTTTGCCTTTATTTTTATCATTGGATTCTGATATAGCTTTTCTAGGCCAAATATGACTAACAAAGGGGGAAATCAGAGGGTATGTGTATGGCTCCGGGAATTTTTGGTAGATCCAGAGCATAACTGGAATGACTATACAAGGAATGCACACCACTATCTGAGGCTTGAGCTCCTAAACATGAGAGTGCAGGCAGGCAGAGAGGTGCCGAGGAGGGCAGAAGGCAGAAGGAGAACAGCTCACCACCCTCAACTCTAATCTGCCATCCCACTGCACTGTAGTCATTGCCCCTGCATGGCTCCCCATTCAGCATTCCTAACCCCAACCCTAAGTCAGGCTCTGATCCCCACATCCTCCTTCATCTTGAGGCAGAGCACGCACGGAGCGGGGCTTGGTTAGCGCAGCCTGGGCTGGGGCCTGTGGAGTAGCTCTAAAGTGCCGCAGGGAGCCTACCTCACCCAGAACCCCCAACTGGCAGTCAGCCCCGGCCCACCCCACTCCTGCTCATCCGCGAGCACCAAGCCCAAATGGCTCAATCCGATTTTTAGAATCTCCTTTCCAGACAAACACACCTGACTATATGATTTTTAAGCACATTGCCAGACGTGGCTTGTCCTTCATCATCAGTATCATGACCAAATCTGAAGCTCATCAAACCTCAACTATCATGCATTAATGGCCATCCCACTATCTCTTGCTTTATTTGGTCTCTTACCTCTTTGCCCTAAAAGGGCATTGTGTAAGGATAATAAACACTCACTTTCAGGCAGACCAGAGCCAGATATGCCCATACTTCAGCATTGTAGTTGTTCAATGCATTGGCTTCAGAGAGAGCATCCTCAGCCTCCGTGAGCTCCTCCAGCTTGACAAAAAAAAACAGACGTGTGAGTTGTTAAGTCAAAGTATTCACTTAAGCCAGCTGGAGTCAGCTTAGCTGAAAACACTATGTCCAAATAACATTGGTGTACGTGACCTATACCAACAGTTTTCAACTTTTTAAATTTTTAGCAACAGATCCTTTCTTCAAACAAAATCTTATGTGGTGGACCAGTATATGAAACAGTTAAAAGTAGAACTGCTCTGATTAAAAAGCCAGAGAGGAGAATCTGGAGCCCTGCTTGCTATGCTTGCAAGTTATACCCCTTTCTTTCTCTTCCCTCTATAGCAGTCCTGTCTGGGCATCCATGAACCATGGAGCTTCAGGTGCCAGGGCTGGAAAACCAGAAGTATTCACTGTCATGCGTACATCATTCAGTGATTTCCCCATACACAGTGGGCTGCCAGACATTTGTAGTTTTTTTCTTTATATTGTGCATCCCTTTCTTAAGGTTAAAGTCCTATTACCCTGTCAAAATACTATTGTTAAGAAAGCTTCCTTTCCCCTAAAATTAGTCATTAACAGCACAATCTTGAGCAATCAATACAATATTCAGAGACTCTAGGGTGCTTCCTGAGCTCTGGGCACATGAATATCATTACTGCTTCCTAAAACTGTGAGTTTGCTTTGTAAAATCTTCCAAAAGGCTACCTAAAGAATGAACAAGTCCCTCCTCTCTCCAGTAAAGTAGCTGTTCATTTTTTCTGTTTTAGAAAAGAAAATAATGGGTTTCTAGGCCCAAGACAATATGAAGAATGGCCTTTCAGCAATACCAATACCTTGGCCCACACTTTAAATGTCTCTGAGATATTGATTTATTATTCACTCAATCTATATTGCTAAGGATTTACTCTATGTCAGGCAGTTTGCTAGATATTGGGAATAAAAAGATAAAATACAATCCCTGCCCTCAAAGAGTTCACTGACAGATATGTAAGAAAATAAAATGAAAACTCAAACATATAAATTGTTCCAATACACAATAAACATTTCTATAATAAATGCATATATATGATCTAGTGGAGGGACAAAGGAAAATAGGAATAATTCTACCCTGAGATTAAAGGATGGCCTCTGAGAAGAAACATTGCTAAAGTGAATCTTGAAGGATGAATAGGAGTTAGCCGTACAAGGTGAAGAAAGGCATTCTAGGTAAAATGAATATCATATACAAAGGCATGGAGACATAAGAGAGCATGGCATGCTCAGGAAACTCTTAAGTATGCCTGTGTGGCTGGAGAAAAGAGAGAGAGAGAAGGGAAAATAAAGGAAGGGATAAGACTAGAGTTAGGCAGAGACCAGATCATATATACTCATTCAAAGGAATCTGAATTTTATTCTGAAACAAGGGTTAGCCATTAAAGGGTTTAAGTAGAGAAGTAACATGGTATTTTCATATTTTAAAGACCACTTTGATAACAATGAGGGAAATGAATTGAGGGAGGACAGGAGATCAACCTAGCAGATAAAGAGGGGATGAGGCTTGAATTAGAGCAGTAAAAATAGGGATGAAGAAGAGAGAATAGACTCAAGAGACATTTAGGAGACAAAATCAATAGGATATCTGATGCCTTATTAAAAGTAAGGAGAAGTAGATTAGGATAGCCTTTTAAGTTTCTGGCTTGGTTGATTGGGTTCATTATTTTTTTTTTAATTTTTTATTTATTTATTTTTCCCCCAAAGCCCCAGTAGATAGTTGTATGTCATAGTTGCACATCCTTCTAGTTGCTGTATGTGGGACGCAGCCTCAGCATGGCTGGAGTAGCGGTGCGTCGGTGCGCGCCCGGGATCCGAACCCCAGCCGCCAGCAGCGGAGCGCGCGCACTCAACCGCTAAGCCACAGGGCCGGCCCTGATTGGGTTCATTATAGTCCCATTCGCCAAGACAGGGAATACAGGAGAAGGTATAGGCTTAAGGAATGTGAGGATCCTTCACAGATAAGTTAGGTTATGTTTTGGATATGTACGCTGTGAGGTGTCTAGAGAACCATCAAATGGAGCTGTCCATTGCATTGTTTGATATAAGGGTCAAAACTTGAAAAGTGTTATGAACTGAAGCTTTAGGATTCATGAGAGCACAAGTGGTAGTTAAGAGCACTGGGGTAGATGATATTTCTTAGGGAGAATAAATAAGATGACAGGAGAAGAGGGCTGACTGTAGAACCCAGGGGGACCCAACAGTTTTATGGTTGGTAAAAGACTAGGACCAAGCAAAAAAGGCTGAGAAGGAGATACCAGAGAAGAAAGCACAGAAGTGGAAGGATGTGAATGCAGTATTGAAGTCAAGGGAAGAGAGGGCTTCAGGAAGGAAGTAGTCAACAGGGTTAAGTGCCACAGAGACTTCATCTAAGTGTCTACTGCACTTAGCAATTAGGATGTTATAGGGGACTTCTGTCAAAGAAGTTTCAGCAAAGTGGTACGATGTACACACTTAATTGCAATGAAGTAAAGGGTAAATGGGACCTGGGAAATGAACAGATAATTCACAAGTAAAGAAAGAGTTTGTATCACATGATTTCAATCTCATTAGTGATGAAAATGCAAATTAAGAGACCTATCAAATTGGCAAACGGTAATTAATGCCCATTGTTGATGATGTAACAGTAAAATGGACTCTCCTACCTTCTGGGAGAGTATACAGAGGTATACAGCCTTTCTAGAAGGCAAGTTGACACAATAATTTGAAGACTTAAAAAAAGTTCTACATTCTTTAAGAATGTATCCCAAGGAAATATCAAAATTAAGCACAGAGATTTATGTCCAAGAATGTTTATCTCAGCTTTATTTATAATAGTATAATTGTAGAAACTAACAATACGTCCAATAATAAGTGATTGGTCAAATAAATTATGGTATATCCACACATAGGTATAGTATGACTAAAACATTGATGGGGAAGAGGTGCAGCGATTACTTGGACATCTTAGTGGTAGGGCTTAACTCAAGTTTTTTTTGTTTCTGTCTCAGTGAAAATATTTTTTACACTACTCAAATAGGAGTACAACTTATGCTGAATAATTTGTCTAGTTGGTTTTTTGTACTTTCTACAGTGTTGTCAGGTTTCTAACAGCTCCAAATGTTTTACATCCTTTCTCGTAAGATGGAGCAGGGGGGCACATGACTTACATATAAGTGATCATATGTCCCAGTTAACCTGGGACACTTCCAGTGTAATTATCAACAGCACCCTGTTCATTCTCAGAAATGTCCTGGTTTGTATGAAAAATTACATGGTCACCTTATACATCCAAACCAGGGAACACCACGCAGTCAACAAAACTCATGTTTTAGACTATTTGGTGATGTGAGAAGATACCAATGCCATATTGTTAAGTAGAAAAAAGATTACAAAGCAGTAAATATATTATTTACAACTTTATATGTTAAAATTGCGTTCATATATATATGAAAAAAAGATTGGAGGAAAATGCATTCAAATGTTAACAGTGGCTATCACTGAGTGGTGGGATTATGGATACTTTTATGTTTTCTTCATATTTTGTATCTTCCAAATTTTCTATAATGAACGTATATTACCTTTATGCTTAAAAAAATAGCAATGAGGAAGAGGAGACAAAGAATGTAGAGAACTCTTTTGGTTAAGGGTAACAACCAGGAAGGTTGTTGTTATCGTTGTTGTTTAATAAGGGGGAATCAACAGCTGATCGAGAGGGAAAGGTCAAAAACATCAATTAAGGAGAAAGAAAAAAATGACCGAAGTCAGGTATTAGGAAAAAAGGAGAAAGACAGAATCAAGAATACACGTGAAGAAATTAGACGAGAACAGCAGGATGCATGCCTCTTTTGAAGATTGGAGGCAAGGAGGGAAGGGTGACTAGGGAGTTGTTAGGGGTGGTGGAGCAAAAGGTCTACCAAAAGCTGTAGCAGCAGCTCCTCCTGAATATAGAAGGTCCACAAAGCTTAATAAATATCAGTCACTTTCTTTAATTTAATTGAGTAGATTCTTCATATCCCATATCACTTTTTTCTTACAGATAACATCATAAAATTATGAGCTTCTGTACCAAATAACATGAAATTTTTTATTATATAGCTTCCTGATTCAGGTTTTTGTGGGGTTTTTAAAGAACGTTTTATTTTTCTAGTTCAGATTGACCTTCAGTCTACTGAACAACTTTGAAAAGCAACTTTTCACCAGAGAGGACTGCCCTGACTGCCATCCCACTGTCATCACAAACTCCCAGGGTGCCTGGAAGAACAAGGAATCAAGGCCTAGTCTCAAGGCTTCATCTTCTTACCCGATAACAGGCAATTCCCAGTCCTAGCCAGGTAAGGCATGAAGGTGATCTCTTACAGGCTTGCAGGTAGGTTTTCTTTGCCTTTTCATACTGTAGAAAGAAAGCACCACTAAACTATTGTTCTTCTGGAAGCTTCAAACACTGCATTGTTAGGATAATAATGGGACTTCTGTAGTTGCATTCCAGATCAATCTAAGTTAAATGAGTCCTTGGATTACATGTTTTTTAAAGACAATTTTTTTTAGAGCAGTTTTAGTTCACAGCAAAATTGAAAGGAAAGTACAGAGACTTCCCATATACCTCCTTCCCCCACACATGCATAGCCTCTCCTATTATCAACATCCCCCACCAGAGTGGTACATTTGTTACATCTGATGAACCTACAGTGACACATCATCATTACCCAAAGTCCATAGTTTATCTTGGGATTCACTCTTGGTATTATACATTCTATGCCTTGGACAAATGTATAATGACATGTATCCATCATTAGAGTATTTTCACTGCCCTAAAAATCCTGTGTGCTCCATCTATTCATCACTTCCCTTCCCCTAGTCACTTGAAACCACTGATCTCTTTACTGTGTCCATAGCTTTGCCTTTTCCAGAATGTCATACTGTTGGAATCATGCAGTACATAGCCTTCTCAGATTGGCTTATTTCACTTAGTAATATGCATTTAAGGTTCCTTTATGCTTTTTCATGGCTTAATAGCTTATGTCCTTTCAGTGCTGAGTAATATTCCATTGTCTGGATGTATCACAGTTGATTTATCCATTCACCTACTGAAGGACATCTTGGTTGCTTCCAAGTTTTGGCCATTATGAATAAAGGTACTATAAACATCTGTGTACAGGTTTTTTTTGTTTTTGTTTTTGTTTTTTTTAATTTTTTGTTTATTGCAGTAACATTGGTTTATAACATTGTAAAAATTTCAGGTGTACATCATTGTACTTCTATTTCTGCATAGATTACATCATGTTCACCACCAAAATACTAAATACAACCCATCACCACACACATTGTGTACAGGTTTTTGTGTGGACATAAGCTTTCAACTCCTTTGGGTACATACCAAGGAGCATAATCACTGCAGCGTATGGTAAGAATATTTTTAGCTTTGTAAGAAATCGCCAAACTGTTTTCCAAAGTGGCTGGACCATTTTGCATTCCCACCAGCAATGAATGAGAGTTCCTGTTGTTCTTTGTCAGCATTTGGTATTGTCAGTGTTCCAGATTTTGGCCAGATTTTTGTGTGTAGTGGTATCTCATTGCTGTTTTAATTTGCATTTCCCGGATGACATATGATGTGGAATGTCTTTTCATATACTTATTTGCCATCTGTATATCTTCTTTGGTGAGGTGTCTGTTAAGGTGTTTGGCCCATTTTTTAATCAGTTTGTTTGTTTTCTTATTGTTGAGTTTTAAGAGTTCTTTGTATATTTTGGATTACAGTCCTTTATCAAAGGTGTCTTTTGCAAATATTTTCTCCCAGTCCGTGGCTTGTCTTCTCATTCTCTTCACATTATCTTTTGCAGAGCATAAGTTTTTAATTTCAATGAAGTTCAACTTTTCAATTCTTTTTTTCATGAATCATGCCTTTGGTGTTGTATCTAAAAAGTCATTACCATACCCGAGTCATCTAGGTTATCTCTTATGTTATCTTCTAGGAGTTTTATAGTTTTGCATTTTACATTTAGGTCTATGATCCATTTTGAGTTAATTTTTGTGAAGGGTGTAATGTCTGTGTCCAGATTCGTTTTTTTGCATGTGGATGTCCAGTTGTTCCACCATCACATATTGAAAAGATTATCTTTGCTCCATTGTATTGTCTTTGCTCCTTTGTCAAAGATCAGTTGACTATATTTATGTGGGTCTATTTCTGGGCTCTCTATTCCGTTCTATTGATCTATTTGTCTATTCTTTCACCAATACCACACTGTCTTGACTATTGTAGCTTTATAGTAAGTCTTGAAGTCAGGTAGGGTCAGTCCTCCGCCTTTCTTCTTCTCTTTCAATATTGTGTTGGCTGTTCTGGGCTTGGATTGTATTTTTATGTCTATTTTAAGGGAGCTATCACAAGAAGACTTGTGTGAGAAGGATAGACCAAATTAAAGGGCAGACTTTGACGTGGAAGCAGTTCCAAATATGTTCATATTCTTTGCGAGAGTTGAGGCACAGAGCTATACTGAAAGTTCTGGGTAACCACAATGATTATCTGAATTCTACTTAGATTTTATGGATTACCCCCTTTCATCTAAAAGTGACATCATGTGGTGGGATGACAGATAAAGAATCTCTGAACTAAGGGGTACAGTTGATAGAGCCTCATTTTTCTGAGAGTCTGTTCTCTTATTCTAAAAGGTCTTAGAAGCTCTCAGTAATAGGAGACATTTAGAAAGACTCAAAAAAGAAATTTCCAAAAGAGGTAGCCCTCAAAAGACCACTCCTTGTCTTGTATCTCCAATGTGAGAGATGGAACTATAGCTGAGCTTCAGCAAATAGCTTAAGAACTGCTTGCATAGTGACTGGATAAGTCAGCAGCTCTGTGAAGATGCAGCTTGCAATGACATCAGAAAGAAAACTTTTTCTGCAATGTGATAGTGATTTTTCTCTCTCAAGCCTATGTGAGACTTCCTACTTAAATTATAAGGCATTGTAACTTCTTGTTGCTGTTGTTGTTTTATTTTAAATAGAAAGAGAGGGGCTGGTCCAGTGGTGTAGCGGTTAAGTGCGCGTGCTCCGCTGCGGCGGCCCGGGGTTCAGATCCCCAGAGCAAACCAATGCACCGCTTGTCAAGCCATGGTGTGGCGGAGTCCCATATAAAGTAGAGGAAGATGGGCACGGATGTTAGCCCAGGGCCAGTCTTCCTCAGCAAAACGTGGAGGATTGGCAGATGTTGGCTCAGGGCTGATCTTCCTCACAGAAAAAAAAAAAAGGAAAGAGTATTGGGTGCTCTGGGGGGAAAAGTGGAATGAAGTCAAAACAAAAGTATGGAATCAAAAGGCCTTTGGCAGAATGTTGATAATTATTGAAGTGGGATGATGTGTCCACGTTGGTTCTTTCTACTATAGTCACGCGCCACATAACGATGTTTCGGTTAATGACGGACTTCATATACGATGGTGGTTCCATAAGATTAGTACCATATAGCTTAGGTGTGTAGTAGGCTATACCATCTAGGTTTGTGTAAGTACACTCTATGATGTTCACACAATGATGAAATCACCTAACGATGCATTTCTCGGAACATATCCCTGTCATTAAGCAATGAATAACTGTATTCTGTTTACTTTGTATGTATTTGAAATTTTCCATAAAAGAAAGTTCCTTTTAGAAGGCCTTGGAGTACTCCTAAAATATGGAGAGGAATTGCTAAAGAGCCAGGTCAGAGTGCCCTGTGGAATGGGGTTAGCCTCATCTGAGTTAAATATGACCCTTTGTGTTGAGGAGGAAGTTTGGAGATTTTGAAGCCCATGACACTTTGTTGGTTAAGTCAAGCTAAGAATGTTTCTACCACTAATAATAAAAGAAAGTTAGCTAAAATAACATTTATTGAGGTCTTAACTTTTTAGTATCACAATGGTTAAAACCACAGACTCTAGTATTAGACTGCCTGGATTTGAATCCTGCTCCTATTAATTAGTAGTTACCTGATGTAGGGCAAGTTACGTTACTTTTGGATGTAAAAGTGTCATTATCATATTACTATTTTTAGTCCACATAGGTGGATATTAATGCTTGAACTGTAATCAGATCCCAGACCACGACCTGATTTACACGGTTACTCCCTATCCTCTATCCCTCACCTCATTCTCTTCCAGATAGATGTGCCCCAGTCGCAGGAAGATGAAGTGCATCTCAGAAGCATCCACTACAAAACTAATGGTTCGCTCATAGCATGCCTTAGCCTCAGCATGGTTTCCACTCAGAAAACAGAGATGGCCCTTCACACCCCAGACGTTAGGGTTCTGAGAAAGTGAAGAACAAGTAGTACATGGGATGAGGTGATATTTAAACGTACATTAATGGTTTTTGTTTAACATTTAAATTTAGATTAAGTCCATTTTCTTTTTCTAATAGCACTCAATTAGAAAGAGGGCCATTCAATTGCACTGGCAGATATTTTTCTAGGTCTGCCCTCTCATTTCTGTCTTGCATTCTTCAAAGCCATTTTGTCTTTGGGGTAAATATTAAGAAAACATTCAAGCATAACCACGATAGTGTTCACAATGAGATAACAGAAATCCAGGAAACTTGAAATAGATAAATTATCTGCTAAAGAGCTGTCCTTATCCTTTCCTCTGCCCTTTGCAAAACTCATGATTACTTAAGAAAAACAAATGAAAGGAAATAGATGAGTTTACTGACAACTGATGACCCCCACCTCTGGTGACCAGAAATCTACCTGTGATATGACATTACCAGCTTTAAGAAAGCTTGCTCGCCCCTTCTCCAAACTAAACTCAAGAGGCTCTAGCAAAAGTTATTACCAGGTAGTCCATCTGGGCTGCTTGTTGAAGGTATTCCTCTGCCTTAGCAAAGTCCTTCTTGAGAAGGTGTGTCTGGGCTAGCACCAAGTAATACTCACAGCTGGGGCCTCCTTGAGGGCATAACAGCTCATGTGCAAGCACTCTATGCACATACTGCAAAGAAAAAAACCAGATTACAAAGAACATGTAAATAGCTGCATTGTGTCAGTTCCACAGTTCTCGTGGTTGAAGATTCTGTCTCTGATAATAAAATAATAAGGAATATATTATAGAATGAAATGATTATCAACTTCAAAAGGTTAGAGGTGAATTGTAAACATTCAGCACATCATGGTTCCATTACCAGCTATTCACTTAGTCACCAAGTGTAGACATTTCCAAATGAATAATCTGCAGTATCGCACAATTCTGGTCTTGCTGGTCATCATACTAGATGGGTTTTAGCCTGTATTTGTTATGCAACAGACAGAGGAACTTCATCAACCACCCCATCTACACATGAGATAACATTTTCAGGCAGCTGTAATTGTAAGGCAACTTACAGTGAGATAAAACCTCCTTTCTAAAATTCTAGAGTTGGGATCATAAATGTTTGAAACATAAATGTTTGTTTCTGACACACTCTCAAACACTTATGTTCACCAGTTTTGTACTTGGGGCTATTCTTTGTTTTTAATACTATATTAGGCCTGCAAATTTGACAAAATCAGATGTACTTGCTAAGCAGAAAAGGAAATCCTTCTTGTCTCTCTCTTCCCATCTCAGCCTATAACATAGAAACTTCCACTAACACTTCTTAGGAAAATATTTGGAGCACGCCCTGCAGCTGTTCCTCTACCTGCATTCTGGCTTTTTGACATGGGGGGATAGTGACTTATCAGGGAGACAGAGAGCCTGTTTCTCTATTGGGAAAGCTTTAATGTGGCCCACTCCCACCCTCAAGTGGAACATGCACTCTGCAGGGCCAACTCTCTTGGCTCCTGGATAGTGCTCTCTCTCCTACTGCTTGCTTCATGGATATATTTCTTGTTTCCCATGTGATAGGTAGACCTCACAGGATGCTCTTCTTCTCTGAGAGGAAGGAGGCTGAAATTCTCCAGGTGTTCCAACTGTGACTGCATGGGTAAGTCAAATCTGGAACCAATCAGATCTCTAGCCCAGTTTTACCAATAAAAAAATTTAATATTTTTATGCCCCCATAAGGCGCTGTGTATCTGTTTCCAATTGGTTCAGAGCCTGGAAGGGGAGAAGGGTATAATTAGGCTCCTGTGAACCCCCAACACTCACATAATATGAGTTCCTGTAATAAAGTGACATCAGGCTACATATGACTTAGAGTCTGATTTTGCTTCTGCTGGTATTCTACAGGGAGTGGACTTGCAGTGAAGACTTCTGATGCTCTCTGCAGAGAATGATTCATGTTTGGATGTTTATCCCATTGTGCCTCCGGTGTGCTCTCAAAAGCATATTTGATTTCTGCATCATACATATTTAAGCTTGCAAAGATACCATTATGGATAGAATAAGTAGTTCGCTAAAATCTTTCCATCTACTTGCCCTTTTCCAAATATTCTGACCTGCACAGCATTGAACTTCACCAAGAAGCGTATGGTCTCCATGAAGATGGTGGTAGGAGTTTGGGAAACACCATAAGGAGTGGGATGCAGAAAAGTCGATGAATCTTGACATTTTGATGCTTCTAAAAATATTATATTAAAAGAACAGACAATTAGATGTAAAGGAAAAAATGTCAGAAGCTCAGACACACTAATGTAGCTGGGAGAGTATTCTAATGTAATATATGAGAGAGATTATAATCTGGAAAGCAATAGATTGTTCTATAGCAATGGTCCCCAAAGAGGAGATCTCAAAGGTTCTCAAGGTCAGTCTACTGGTGGTTCCAAATGCAAATCACAACCAAATGAAAGAGTTTTTTAAAGTATTCAGATCTTCCTGAATGCGGAACACAATCTGTAGATATTCTAAAAATGAAGAATCATTGTTAGAAAATCATAGGTCTGTAGTTGGCTACTTCTCTGAGCTAAATATAAATCCTTGCTTATTGAAAGAGTTGTATTACTGAGTTTGGACTTCAGAGTTTAGCCTCACAGGAAGGAACTTAGGCAATATCACAGATAAACTAATCAACTTCAAACAAGTTAAGATCGCCATTTCGGTAATCATAAGAGTTTTCATCCTTGTCTAGTTTGTTTATGCCTCTCTTTAAAGTAGAAATCTTTATTCCTAATTACCTTTTTTTGCTGGTATCTCCTTGAGAAATACGTTGGATAGTTTTTGGCTGATAGTTGGATCCTGAGAATGTATAGACAAAATGGGTTCTCGTGAATCAGACCGCAGTTTGGAGGCTTCAAGAAATTCATCTAGACTGGATAACGGAGCTCCTGGTCCTAAATAGATTAAATTTTAATGAGAAAAAAAAAAACCTTCCTACATTGGATATTAAAAGATTATTACAGAAGGTAAAATACAATTAATTTTCAAAGCATAAGAGACATATTCCCTAGATACTGCGTGCACAGACTTGTTTCGCAGCTTTTTATATTTCTGAATAATTTAAAGAGTACAATTTAAACTGATAGCACAGATTCTGTGACTATGACCCCCAGTGCAATCCTGCTGCTAGCCCAAGTCATGATAATGTCAAACAGACACCTATTACAAAAGTGACTTGCTAAACCTAGAATCTCAAGAATACAGATGAGAAGTTTAATATATTTTTAGATAGTATTAAAACCCCTGAAGAACAGGAATTTTATTCATCTTATCTCAGTGCTTAATAATAATAATAATAAAAGTAGCTATATTTGAGCATGAATACATACCAGGTATTGTACTAAGGACTTAAATGTATAATCTCATTTATTTTTCACAATATTTTGAGATATTTTATTTATCACATTCCTTTAAACAAAGTGAGTCACAGAGAAGTTAAATAATTTGCTGAAGCTCTTAAACATGCCATCATGCTTCTCAAATAAACAAATGTTTGACAAATAAAAATAAAAAGCAATACCAGGCAGGAAATGATCAGTGCTAGCTGGCTCTGAATCAGAAGAGGTCACTCTCAGCTGGAGCAAAAGATATGGCTTTGAAAAACAGGTAGAAATTGAGTAGGTAGGGAGGGGCATTTAAGACTGGGAGCATGCCATTGGCAAAAGCATGGAAGTAGTGAGCTAACTATTTGAATTTGAGAGTTATCAGTAGTGAAATGGAAACTGTGAGAGTAGGTGAGCTCTTAGAAAGTAAGACTATATTATTGGGAAATGATTACATCTAATGAGTGGAAGAGAAGAGAAGAGAAAGAGAAGCTAACAAAAGAAACCCAAACTGTTAAAGACACAGGAGGCAATCCAACATGTATTTCAGGAAGGAGAGAGTGATTAAATACAGCAGACTGATCATTGAGGAGTAAGTGATGATCTTAATGAAAAAAATTGTAAATATTCAGCTTTTCTGAGGTATAATTTACATATAATAAAGTGTTCCCTTTTAAGTATATAATTCAATGCATTTTAACAAATATATACACTTATATAATCACCATCACAATCAAGATATAAAAGATTTCTAATACCTCAAAAAGTTCCCTTGTGCTCTTTGCAGTTAATCCCCAACTCCCAGCCAAAGGCAACTACTGATCTGCTTTCTGTCAATATAGATTAGTTTTGCCTTTTCTAGAATTTAATTTAAATGGAATCATACAGTATGTACTCTTTTGCATCTGGCTTATTCATTTAGCATACTGTTTTTGAGATTCACCCATGTTGTATCAGTAATTTATTTCTTTTTATTGCTGAGTGGTTTTTGACTGTGTGGATAAAAGAAAATTTAGGGCCGGCCCCGTGGCTTAGCGGTTAAGTGCGTGCGCTCCGCTGCTGGCGGCCCGGGTTCAGAGACGCACCACTTCTCCAGCCATGCTGAGGCCGCGTCCCACATACAGCAACTAGAAGGCTGTGCAACTATGACATACAACTATCTACTGGGGCTTTGGGTGAAAAAATAAATAAAAAAAAAATTATAAAAAAGAAAATTTAGTATCCATTCACCTATTGATAGGCAGTTGGGTTGTTTCTAGTTTTTGCTTACTATAAATAAATCTGTTATTAACATTTGAGTATAAATCTTTGCAAGGATATATGTTTCCATTTCTCTTGGATAAATACTCAGGAGTGAAATTGCTGGCACATGTATGTTTAACTTTATTTTAAAATTGCCAGTTTTTCCAAGTGGTTGTACCATTTGGCATTCCCACCAGAAATTCAATCCATTTACATTTAGAGTGATTATTGATATATGAGGGCTTCATGCTGCCATTTTATCGCTCGTTTTCCGGTTCTTCTGCATTACCCTTGTTTCTCGTCCCATGTATGTTGGACTACCAATTCAGTTTAGTAGTTCTCTATGATGGTTTTCTTAGTCTTGTCTTTATTTATCATTTATCTCTGTTCTGATTGTTTAGTGGTTACCATGAGGTTTGTATAAAAAATCTTGTGGATGAGATAGTCCATTTTCTGATAGCCTCTTATTTCCTTAGACTAAGCTGCTTATATCCCTTTCCTCTTCCCCTTCTAAGTTATTGTCACAACTTATTCTATCTTGTGTTGTGAGTTTGTGGTTAAAATGATGAGATTATATTTATTTTTGATGTTTTCCTTCCCTTTATCTTTAATGTTATAATTGTTTGCTAACCTGTTCTGATAGAGAGCTGCAATTTTCTGATTTTGTCTACCTATTTATCTCCTTGCTCAAGGCTTTGAACCCCTACTTTTTTTTTTCAGGTATGAGGGCCTTCTTGAGCATTTCTTGTAGGGGGGTTCTTGTGGCAATGAACTCCCTTAGCTTTTGTTTATCTGGGAAAGTTTTTATTTCTCTATCATATCTGAAGGATATTTTCACTGGATAGAGTATCCTTGGCTGAAAGTTTTTGTCTTTCAGATTTTTGAATATATCATTCCACTCTCTCCTAGTCTGTAAGGTTTCTGCTGAGATAATCCACTGAAAGCCTGATAGGGGTTCCTTTGTAAGTTATTTTCTTCTGCCTTGCTGCCCTTAATATTTTTTCTTTATCACTGACTTTTGCCGGCTTTACTACTATATGCCTTGGAGAAGGTCTTTTTACATTGATATAGTTAGGAATTCTTTTAGCTTCATTTAATGTAATTGCAGCTCCTTCCCCAGGTTTGGGATGTTCTCAGCTATTATTTCTTTGAACAAGCTTTCTGCTCCATTCTCCTTCTCTTCTCCCTCTGGAATACCCATAATCCTTACGTTGCATTTCCTAATTGAGTCAGATATTTCTTGGAGAATTCTTCATTTCTATTTAGTCTTCGTTCTCTCTCCTCCTCCATCTGAAGCATTTCTATATTTCTGTCCTCCAGACTGCTGATTCTATTCTCCATAATATCCGCTCTGTTTTTCAGGGAGTCCAGATTTTTCTTTATCTCATCCATTGGGTTTTTCATCTCCAACATTTCTTAGTGGTTTTTCTTTATAGTTTCAATCTCTTTTGTGAAGAAGTTCCTGATTTCATTGAACTGTCTATTGTATTTTCTTGTAACTTAAGTTTTTTTATGATAGCTATTTTGAATTCTCCGTCATTTAGATTATAAATTTATGTGCCTTTAGGATTGATTTTTGGTGCTTGTCATTTTCCTTCTGGTCTGGAGATTTAATATATTTTTTCATACTGTTTGACAGCGTGGATTTGTGCCTTTGCATAGTGATAGTATCTGATCGCAGTTTCCACCTGCCACCACTGGGTGGGGGTCAAGAGCTGTGTATTCTGAGCCCACCACAACCCTGCCTTGCTCGCTCACAGCTGCTGCTTTTCTATCATATGCACAGGCATTCTGGCCAACCGGCTGAGCTGGAGCACCAGGCAGGTGGAGGGGCACTTTCTTTCACCTGTGTTATCCCAGGGAGCGTTCTCCCTCTGCCCTCGCTATCTGCTCTCCTGGGGTGCTGGCTTGATGAAGACACCCCCGCAATAGCGTAGTCACTTCTGGGCTTTCCCATGGGCTGTGAGGGAACTCCTCTCCTCTCAGAGCCCTTCCTCCTCTCAGAGCCATGTACAGTCAGGAGCCCAGGTTTGCTGCCATTGGGGAGGGAGAGGAGATCTCCTTACCTCCTTCCACTTCCACCAGAGGGTCAAGCACCTCCACCTTCTGACATATGGCTGCATGGGTCTCTCAGATGTCTTTTGTGTTGTGTGAATGTCTTCTGTTGGTATATGAATGTCCTTTTCATTGTATCTTGGGGGTAGAGTCTAAGAGCAGATCTCACTCCGCCATGATGTTGATATCACTCCCTCAAACTACTAATATGAAAAAGGAGAGATCACTACAGATCCCATGGACATTTAAAGGAATATTATGAACACTTCTATGCCCAAAAACTTGATAACCTAGATGAAATGGACCAAGTCCTTGAAAGACACAATCTTCTAAAACTCATACAAGAAGAAATTAACAATACGAATAGGACTACATCTATTAAAGAAATTGAATCAATAATTAATAATCTTCCAATACAGAAAGCATAGATGAATAAAGATCCATGAATAGGTAAGTCAGGTATAAAAAAGGCAAGTAAATGAGATAATCTGATATACCAGATATTAAGCATACCACAACATCACAGCAATAAAAAGAGTGTGATATAACAGACAGATTTGTCTGTTAAGATCAGACAAAAAAGACAGAATAGAGAGCTCAGAGACATACATACCTTAAATCAAAGGGAAAAAGATGATTGTTTAATAGGTGATTTTGAGAAAAATAGATCCCTATATGGAGAAAATAAAAACTGAATGCCTACTTGGTATTACATTCAAAGATGGACTCCCACTAAAGATCTAAATGTAAAACTAATATTATAAAGTTCATTGAAGAAAATGTGACTTGAGGCAGGAACAACTATTAAAACAAAACTTTAAAGGCACAAAACTGCAAAGGATATGGGAGAGTTGAACAACACAATCAATTAATTAAACCTAATTGATATCTATAGAACACTCCACTCAACAACAAAGAATATACATTCTTTTCAAGTGCATATGGAATATTTATCAAGATATATCATATGTTGGACCATAAAACAAGTCAAAATAAATTTAAAAGGATTCAAGTCATACAAAGTACGTTTTCTAACCACAATGAAATTAAATTAGAAATAAAAAACAAGGATATCTGGAAAAATCCCCAAATATTTAGAAAATAAAAAGCATACTGCTAAATAACCCATAGTCCCAGCCATTCAACTCCTAAGTATTTACCCAAGAAAAATGAAAGTATATGTCCATACAAAGACTTGTAGATGAATACACATAGCAGCTTTATTTTAATAGTTCCAAACTGGAAACGACCCAAATATCTATCAACAGGTGAATAGATAAAAATATTGTGGCATCTCCATACAATGGAATACTATTTGACAATAAAAAAGGATAAATTACTGTTATAGGTAAAAGTAACAATGTGTTTGAATCTCAGAATAATTATGATTAGTGAAAACTTCAGACAAAAAAGACTATGCGATTCTATTGAATTCTAGAAACTAAATATAAATAAATACACTGTGCGATTCTGTTTAATTCTAGAAATTTTCTAGAATTCTAAAATGCAGAACATGCAAACTCATCTGTGGTGACAGAAAGCTGATTGGTGTTGTCTGGAAATGGGGGCGAGAGAAAAAGATTACAAATGGACACAGGAAAATTTTGGGGATTTTGGATATGTTCATTATCTTGATTGTGGTGATGTTTTCAAGAGTGTGTTTATGTCTCAAAAGTCATCAAATTGTACATGTTAAATATGTGTAGTTTATGAAATGTCAATTATACCTCAAACAAGCTATTGAAAATATATGCATACAAAATAATAATATGCAATAATATATAAACAAAATAACATATACAAGAAACACATAAACAAAAACACATATATTAAACTGATTAGAATGACTTCCTAAAGTAGAGGAAAGGAAAATGGCCAATGAAGAACCAGGAAAAAAGGAAGTATATAAATAAATAAATAAATTTAAGAATCACAAGAGAGGGACCTTATATAGGGAAGAGAGTGAGGGGAAAAAGAAAGAAATTTACTCTGCTAGAATGATACCCCTTTTTAGGGGTACATGGAGACAGTAAATTCTCTAAGATTCACAAAACTGAATAACAACAGTAGAAGCTTCAGACTTCCAATCATATGAATGAGGAAATATTTAGAAGTCTTTCCTGGTATCCCTGGAACAACTTGAAACTCCACCTACACATTCATTTAACAAGTATTTACTGGGTACTTACTATGTGCCAGGTCCTATTCATAAGGCCAGTAATTTTCCCCATAGACACTCATCATCCCCATTCCCTGGTCCTACCTGCTGGGGCTTCCACCTTGATTGCTGTGGTAGAAGAACCACTAGCAATTCCCCAAGGGTCTAAACTGGATTCTACTTTCCCTCCTTCTTCCACGTAGTCTACAGTACCAGTGCTCTTCTGCTTCGTTACTCGTGCCTGAAGCACTTGTGCCTGAAGCTGTTTGAAGGCCTCATGAAATGCCATTTCCATTCGAATATCATTGTTTTGAATTTCATAGTACAAACCTGAAGAAAGAAAGATGCTGAAATAAATGTGACTAATTTCCCACCATCATATACTGAAGAATTGCAACATTTTACTTACATTTCCCACATTTTTACCAAAGTTTAAGAACTACATGATGAGCCATTAAAGAGTAGAAAGAGAAAGGGAGACTCTTATAATGTAAGAAAACACATTCAGATCACAGGAAAATACCATACCAAGTAAAGTCCAAGCTACAACATTAGTTGGTTCCAAGCAAGTAGCATCCTCAAAGAAAACTTCTGCCTGCTCATAGTTCTCCATCAGGACAGCCAGGACACCACACAGCAACAAGCTGAGAAGAGACCACCAACATGATTCACAGTCATGGAACCAAGACAATTTCATATAAAAGCTTATCTGCTCCTACTCATTCCTCATCTCCCTTCACCCATACCTGTGGATATGATTCTGGTTGAGGGAAAGGGCTTTCCGAAAACACTCCTGTGCTTTGACGTTGTCCTCAGTTAGGAGGCAGAAAGCACCATAGTCTAGCCAGTGTTCCAGGTTCTGGGGCTCACGGACCAACCTCTACCACACAAAGCATCAGGAGGACCAAGGTTATTGTGACACTATGTCATATTTTTAATGCATATAACATCACACAGTAAGCACTCCATAAATACCATAAGCTCTATGAAAGCAGAAACTATGACTTCTTTTTTGCTTACCACTGAATTCTGAATGCCTAGTACAATCACTGTTCTGGCTTATAGTATGTGGTCAATAAATATTTGTTGAAATCATTTAAAAATTGAATCCTCAAGTCATTGCTTCCTAGTGTCAGTGTTCTGGTCACCATAAGCTCTCTAATTACATGGGGACCTAAAGATTCATTTTATGGTTCATTTTAAAGATTCATAAATAATCATTTCTGTCAAAGTCTTGAGATGGCAAATAAAGTTTCTCTACAAATACATTTTTTAAAAAGCACCTCAGAATGAGCAAAAACTACAAAACATTGCTGAAATAAATTTAAGATGACATAAATAAACAGAAACATATCCCATGTTCACGGATTGGAAGAATTAATATTGTTAAGAAGTCAATACTACCCAATGCAATTTACAGGTTCAATGCAATCTCTATCAAAATCCCAAAGATGTTTTTTGCAGAAATAGAAAAACCCATCCTAAAATTCATATGGAATCTCAAGGCACCCTGAATAGCAAAAACAATCTTTAAAAGAAGGAACAAAACTGGAGGACTCACACTTCCTGATTTCAAAACTTACAAAGCTACAGTAATCAGTGTGGTACTGGTATAAAAACAGACATATAGACCAGCGGAATAAAATAGAGATCCCAGAAATAAACCCTCGCATATGTGGTCAAATGATTTTTGACAAAGGTGCCAAGACCATTCCATAGGGAAAAGACAGTCTTTTCAACAAATGGTGCTAGGAAAACTAGATATCCACATGCAAAAGAATGAAGTTGGACCCTTACCTAACACCATATACAAAAAATACCTCAAAATGGATCAAAGAGCTAAACGTAAGATTTAAAACTATAAAATTATGAGAAGAAAACATAGGGGAACAGCTTCACAACATTGGTTTTGGCAATGATTTCTTGGATATGATACCAAAGGCTCAGGCAACAAAAGAAAAAATAGACAAATTGGACTTCATCAAAATTAAAAAGTTTTGTACATAAAGGAAACGATCAACAGAGTAAAAAGGTAACACAGAATAGGGAAAAATATTTGGAAATCATCTATCTGGTAAGGGGCTAAAATCAGAGTATATAAAGAACTTCTAAAACTCAACAACAAGAAATCAAACAACCTGACTCAAAAACTGGCAAAGGGGGGCCGGCCCCATGGCATAGCAGTTAAGTACATGGGCTCCGCTGCTGGCGGCCCGGGTTGGGATCCCAGGCGCACACCGATGCACAGCTTGTCACGCCATGCTGTGGCAGTGTCCCATATAAAGTGGAGGAAGATGGGCACAGATGTTAGCCCAGGGCCAGTTTTCCTCAGCAAAAAGAGGAGGATTGGCATGGATGTTAGCTCAGGGCTGATCTTCCTCACACACAAAAAAAAAAGTTGGCAAAGGACTTGAATAGACATTTCTCCAAAGATCTACAAATATCCAAAAAACATAGGAAAAGATGCTCAACATCACTAATCATCAGGAAATCAAACCAAAATAAAATATCACCTCACACCCATTAGGATAGCCACTATCAACAAGACAGAAAATAACAATTGTTGATGAGGATGTGGAGAAACTAGAACACTTGTACACAGTGGGAATGTAAAATGGTGCAGCCACTTTGGAAAACAGTATGGTGGTTCCTCAAAAAATTAAAAATAGAATTATCATATGATACAACAATCTACTTCTGTGTACATACCCACAAGAATTGAAAGCAGAGTTTCAAAGAGATATTTGTACATCCATGTTCATAGCAACATTATTCATAATAGCTAAAAAGTACAAGCAACCCAAGTGCCCATTGACAGATGAATGGATAAGCAAAATGTGATATATACATACAATGGAATATTATTCAGCCTTAAAAAGGAAGGAAATTCTGATATATGCTACAACATGGATGAAAATTGAGGACATATTCTAAGTGAAATAAGCCAGTCACAAAAGGACATAATTTATTTATATAGACTGCTGTTTTGAACTTGTCGTAGTCTAAATGTTCCTCTGTCATTTAATTTAGAATTTGGAACATATTTTCCTCTTGAAAAAATTATAAATGTGAAAAGATATTCAAAATCACTAGTCATTAGAGAAATGCAAAATAAAACCACAATGAGATACCACTTCACACCCATTAGAATGGCTATAAAAAAAAAAGATGGACAATAATAAGCATTAGTGAGAATATGGAGAAAATGGAATGCTCATCCATTGCTGGTGGGAATGTAAAATAGGATAGCTTTTTGGAAAACAGATGGCAGTTCCTCAAAAAGTTAAGCATAGAGTTACCATATGACCCAGCAATTCCACTCCGAGATCTATACTGAAGAGAACTGAAAATATATGTCCATACAAAAACTTACATACTTTATACACGAAGGTTCTTAGCAGCATTATTCTTAATAGCCAAAAAGTAGAAACCAGTCAAACGCCCATCACCTAATGAGTAAAGAAACAAAATGTGGTATATCTGTATAATGGAATGTTACTCAGCCATAAAAAGGAATAAAATACTAATACGTGCTACAACATGAATGACCCTCAAAAACATGCTAAGTGAAAGAAGGTAGTTATAAAAGACCACATATTGTATCATTTCATTTATATGAACTATCTACAACAGGCAAATCTATAGAGAGAGAAAATAAATTAGTGGTTGCCTCAGGCTGTGGGTGAAGAGAAATGGAGAATGACTGCTAATGGGCACAGGGTTTCTTTTTGGGGTGATGCAAATGCTCTAAATTAGACAGTGGTATTGCTGTGAACCTAAAACTGCTCTAAAAAAAGTCTCTTAAAAAATTAGATTGTGGTGATGGTTGCACAACTCTGTAAATATACTAAATTCCACTGTACACTTTAAGTGGGTGAAAGTTATGGCAGGTGAATTATATCTCAATAATTAAACAAATATAAATGGAAGTTCAGACCATTCTTCATGTATGTTTATTCATCCCATGATGCAGTGGTAGGCAGTACTAACAGAACTAGAGAACTCAAGTGTCATTCATAACACATTGTAAGGGCTCAGTAAATGTTTGCTGAATTTGTTGAATACAAGTTTTATTTTATTTTTTAAATTATTTACAATAAAATTAACATTTTTCCTTTTGGTATACAGTTCTATGAATTTTAACACATGTATACCTTCATGTTACCATCACCACAATTGAAATAGAGAACAGTTTCACCACCCCAAAAAATTTCCCTGTGTTGTCTTTTTATAGTTTTCTCTTCCCCCACCCATAACCTCTGGCAACCACTGATCTGTTATTCATCATTATAGTTTTGTCTTTTCTAGAATATCATGTAAATGGAACCATAGAGTATGTAGCCTTTTGACACTGGCTTCTTTCACTCAGTATAATGCCTTCGAGATTCATCCAAGTTGTTGTGTGTATCAGTAGTTCATTTCTCTTATTGCTGAATAGTATTTCATTGTACAGATAAACAATAGTTTATCTCTTCACCCTATGAAGAACATTTGAGTTGCTTCTGGTTTGTACAATTATGAATAGAGTTGCTATAAGCATTCATGTACGTAAGATTTCACTTCCTTAAGGTAAACAGCCAGGAATAGGTCATATGGTAAATGTATAAGAAACTGCCAAACTATTTTCCAGAGTGTCTGTATCATTGTTCATTTCCTCCAGCAAAGTGTGAGGGTTCCAGTTGCTTTATATCCTCACCAGCAGCTGCTATCATCAGCACTTTTCATTTTAGTTATTCTAATAAGAATGCAGTGGTATCTCATTCTGGGTTTAATTCGCATTCTTTAATGGCTAATGATGTTGAACATCTTTTCATGTTCTTATTTATCATACTTATGTCCTCTTTAGTGAAGTGTCTCTTCAAATCCTTTGCCCATGTTTTTCTGTTTATTTTATTGTTGAGTTTTGAGAGTTCTTAATAGTCTGGATACAGATCCTTTCTCAGATGTATGTTTTGCAGATATTTTCTCCTAGTTTGTACCTTTTCTTTTCTTTCTCTTAACAGTGTCTTTCACAGAGCATATGTTTTTAATTTTGATGAAGTTCAATTTATCAGTTTTTTCTTTGATGGATTGTGCTTTGGTGTCATGTCTAAGAACTCTCTACCTTACTCCAGGTCATAAATATTTTCTCCTCTGTTTTCTTCTAAAAGGTTTATAGTTTTATGTTTTACATTCAGATCTATGATCCATTTTGAGTTGATTTTTATACAACGTTTGAGGTTTAGGTCAAGGTTCATTTTTTGCATATGGATGACCAACTGTTCAACACCATTTTTTCAAAAGACTACCCTTTCTCCATTGAATTTCTTTTATACCTTTGTCAAAAATGTAATGGCCTTATTTGTGTGGACCTATTTTTAGACTCTGTTTTATTGATCTATGTGTCTATTCTTTCACCAATCAAGTTGGATTTTAAACAATCAAAAACTACTATTTATTATATCCATATTGTACAAATAATAGTAACAACAACCATTGGGACGATGTTTAATTACCTCTTCATAATACACTGCTGCCATTTCAAAGTTCTCATTGACTTCTGCTTCAAATGCAAAGAGTCGAAGCTGTTCACTAGTCGTATAAATGGTTGAAACAGTGCCTTGGACGTCATCTGGCATGGTCTTGTCAATATCAAGATGTTAGGCAGACAAAATGAAGCAATTACAAGTAAAGAAGTTTTATAAGAATAAGCCAGGCATGGAGTCATGAGTTCTAAAATGATATTGATGTTTCTTACAGTCTTGCCAATATGGTAAGAGACTGAGAGTGAACCAAGAGAGAAATATCAAGAGTGAAAGAGAAGCTCAGCTATCTGAAGACCAACAGTCTGAACCCATGGAAGTGAGTAAAAATTACTTAGGGCAGAACTTCTCTCCTCCACTTTCAGAGCAGTCAGAATCCCTAACCAAGTCTCCTCCAACATCAAACAGCTTCCTTCATTTTCTCTAGTGTATAGGACAAATATTATCATTTTTTTAGGAGCCATAACATGAAAAAGGTTGGCAAGCACTAGCTACAGTCTTCAAACATCAAGAAAACAGGAGACTAAGGGTAAAGATTTAGAAGCTACATTTATACTTTTAGTGGGATATATAGACAAGATAGATCCTGCAAAGGAGACATGATAGAAATAGCCAGAAAGGTAGGAGGAAACCCAGAAAAATAATATATCCTATATACCCAGATAGGAAAGCAGGTCTGGTATAATAAGTGATCTCCTGAGTCAGAAGCTATAACCAAAGAAGACCCCTCAAAATTCTTCAATTATAAATAAAAATAATGTCAGTGACTTTAACAAGTAGAGTTGCTACGGGATGTGGAGTAAAGCTAAATTTCAGATGGGCCAAAGAGAGCTTCTGACATTGACTAATGTTAATTGACAGTGTTCTTTGTTCTTTTTAATTTTGATGATCTTGACCTCTAAATCCCTACTTCCATGCCCAAACCAGAAAACTCTACCTCTAATATCCCACTCCTAGAACCCACATTACAAGCTTTCTGCCTTTTTGTCACTTAGTCCCCTTAAAACTGCTCTCTGACTTAATTTCCTTCACTTCCAATATGCCTATCATTTCCCAAGTGGATAAGCCTCATGATTATCCACTCTTACTACTCTCTCACCAGCACACTCAAGTCCCAGCCATCCCGTCCTTCTCCTGCACTTGTCCTGAAAACTCCCAAATTAAAGCAATCCTACAATCTGACTTCATTTGTAGACAGGAGCTGCTAACATGTCCTGAGGCAAATTGCATACATAGAGATATCTGAACTGCCACAGATTCTTCTGGTATTCAATCTTAGCTGAAGGCCTTTAATACTCTCAGCAATCTATGTATTTGTCCTTGTTCAGCAACATATTGCATAATGCTATGCGGTATCTATATTTTCTTTCCTTTCTTCAAGCTTTTCATTCAACCCTTATCTCCTTCACTTTCAATAAAGATGTTATTTCTTAGAGGAAATAGAAATCATGAGGCAAGAAATCCCTCAACTTTTGAACGCCATACCTAAATTGTTTATTTCTGCATCCATTGTATCTTTCTCCTTTCAGTCTCAGAGGAAGAGGCACTGCATCCTTCTCTGCTTCGAGGCTAATCCTTTCATCTAAATTCTTGATATTTTCCCACTTGTACCACCCTGGGCTTGCCATCGATTATCCCCTCTTTCCCTCTGTTTTCAACTTCTCCCAGCCTGCTGACTCCTGTTCCCAAACCTGTGGACTAAAGTGTGCTAAAGGTTTTTTTGTCTTAAAAAGAAAATCTCTGTAATTTCTAGCTACTACTTTCCTACTTCTTCCCTTCATCTTCTAACTTCTTGAATTTATATTCACCTGCTTCCTAATCACTCATTTACTCTTCAATTCATTATAATTTGTATCCATTCCATTAGTTAATGAAATTTCTATGTAAATGTTAACAATAACCTCCTTATTGCCAAATCCAATGAAAACTTTTCAGATTTTTTTTCCTAGTTTTATTGAGATATAATTTACATACATCATTGTGTAAATTTAAGGTGTACAGCATAATGGTTTGACTTACATATATTGTGAAATGATTACCACGATAAGTTTAGTTAGCATCCATCATCTCATAATATAGATATAACAAAAAGAGAAAGCAAAAAAAAAAATTTGTTTTTCTTGTGAGGAGAACTCTTAGGATTTACTCTCTTAACAACTTTCATATGTATCATACAAGAGTGTTAACTATAGTCATCATACTGTACATTACATCCTTAGTACTTACTTATCTTGTAACTGGAGGTTTGTACCTTTTAACCACCTTTCTCCAATTCCCCCTCCCTCCACCCCAGATTTTGTTTTTCTTGAACTCCTAGTAGTATTTAACAATGTTGACCAATTTTTCTTCTTAAAATTTTCTTCCCTTAGCTTCTGTGACACCACTGTCTTCTGGCTCTTTTGCCTTTTTAACAATTCACTTGTCTCCTTCATTAATTCTTTTACTCATCAACCCCTTAAATATTGGTGTTTCCTAGGGTTCCACCACCAGCTTGCTTCTCTCTCTACTCATGTTTTCTCGGCAGCTTCATCTATGACCATAGTTTAACGAGCATCTATATACTCATGGCCCCCCAAATCTCAACTCTAGCTCAGATCTCTCTCTTGAGCAAAACCCCACTAAAGCCAATGTTCAAAACTGAATTCAACATCACCTGCCTCCCACCAAATTTGCTCATGTCGTATTTCTTGTCATGGTTAATGGTACTACCAACTACCCAGTTAGTGAGCTTTAAACTTAAGAATCTTTGACTCCTTTTCCTTCTTACTATTTAATGACTAGTTAACATCACCAGTTTCACCACCTCTAACCCATCCTACTGCTAGGAGAATGTTTTTGTAAAATGTAAATCTGATCATACTAGTCCCCTGTGTAAAATAATTCAATTTATTGCTTCTAACTACGAATAAGGGAAAAAGTAAAAACTTCTTTGTGAGGCATACAAGGCCTCCCTCCACACTCCCAACTTCCACATCAGGAACTGATCCTGGCTTCACCTCCTGCTTCTTGGTCCCTCAACCACTTGAACCTCTGCTCCTGAACTATATGTGGTTTATGTATGTGTCATATTCTTCCTAGCTTCCAAGCCTTTGTGATGTTCCCTATGACTCAAATGCTCTAAAACATCCACCCGGAGAACTTTTTTTAGCCTTCAAGGCCCAATTCAGGTCACAACTCCTCTGTGAATCCTTGCCTGCAAGGTCTCAGGGTGAAGCTGATCACTTTTTCTTTTATGCATCCCCTAATCTGTTCTACCATGGACACACCTCTATCACAGCACTTACCTCACTCTACTGCAGTGATTTGCATTTTGTGCCTGTCTCCACTACTAGACAGGGGCTCCATGGGGACATAAGGCAACAGTAATTGTGATCTCATGCTCAATTCTCAATTGCTTTCCAAATCAAATCATTGAAATCATCTGTGCCCAAAGCAAGATTGTTCTCTTAGTCCTAGGATACCGGGCACTCTTCTCCTACCTCTTCCAGGAAGGCTGAACAAGGGGAAAGAAAAAGTGATGGTGGCAGAGAAGAAAAAAACGGTGAAGGAAACAGCAAATAGAATAGAGGCTTTGAGGAGGCATAGCTGGTTAGAGACTACCAGGGGGACAAAAAGACTTTGATTTTGTCCGTTTTCAAATAAACCACTACTGCATATGTTAAAAAATGAGCAAATGAAGGCAAGATGCAAGCTGTGCGAATATAAACAGACAAGTGGGAGGAAAACAGACTACCAGTCAAATAGAAAAGGCAGGTGTGAAGTGTCATTGTCATTCAGCTATAATATCTGCAAACTCATAGTTTCTCTTTGTTTTGATTATCAATCTTGAAGAAAAAATTGAGAATTACACACATTCACAGAATAAATAGAATAATTTTTGTTTCACAATTTTACATAGCCAATTTTATTTATTTTTTTATCCATCACCTTTATGATAGTTATGAAATTTACTTTTCTAGTTGTTCTCCTTAAAATTAGTCTTATAACTTAGGCAGTTTCTTATTCATCTTTGTGTTTTTAGTGTCTAGCAGAAAGCAAACACCTCAATAAATGTTTGTAGAATTAAGGAAGAAAGGAAGCAAAGAAGGAATCATTCAGAGGAAACTCTGATGCCCTACAGAGAAGAGAAACCCTGATGCCCTGAAGCTCTTGGTTCTTGAGCACCTACCTGGTTTAAGGCCACATGCATCTGATCCACCAAGAACACATAGAGCTCACTAATAAATGTCTGCAGTTCCTCCTGGCTTTCAAATGATGTTGTCTTCAAGTACTTCTCTCTCACAATCTTTACCACAACATGCTGCAAGAGACACAGATCATGCATCTGATAACACAGTCCAGTACCATGCTGACAGCACAGGCCACCCTTGAGCTTCTAGCCTAAGGCTCATCAGAACTTCAGAAGGTGATTGATTTCTCCCTTGGTCACTGCTAGACTGTCACCTTTCTGATTTTTCCCCTAATCATCATAATCTGTATGACTTCCTTTCTTGACGTCACCATCATCACTAATATGGTCAATGCAGGACTCATACTATGTGAAGAGAGTCATAAAGCCAAAGAAAACCTTAGTATTAGGTTTACGTATTACCTCTCTCCTGGTACCCACATGATTCAAGGGAGAAAAGGAGAAAGACCTGATTTGAGAGTCTGGAGAATGGAATTCTGGTTCTAATCCTCCCACTGTACGACCTCATAAATTATTTTACACTTGGTACCTTTGTTTCCTCACTTGTTAAATAGCTATGTACTTTTGGTATTACTATCTTATTTCAGAAAATGATTGAGAAGCCAAAGAGAAATAACCGATGGTGAATCTTAAAATGCTATACAAATAACATATTTCTATAGCCAGGACATTTTCTTCTTTTTTTCCCCCAAGCTAATATTATTTTCAGGTTTTGTACTAAGCACTTTCCATGCATTATATTATTTAATTCTCATAAATGACTCTATGTGATAATATTAACCCTCAATGTTAGGCAAGGAAATTGAGGCTCAGAAAGGTAAAGTCACTCGACCAAGGTCATCCAGTTAGTAATAGTAGAACCAGGAATCAAACTGAGATGTGACTATGCCACCTACTGAGAACAGCCTCTTGCCTCCACAAGTAATGGTTGTTTTTCACTTTATTATTTCCACGTGCTTTCCTTGTATCTGTTTAGTAAAGTACAGGGCACACAGTAAATGTGCATAAAGAGGTTCCATGCAATGTAGCAGTTAAGAATTTGAGTTCTGGAGCCAGACTGCCTGAATTTGGTTCCCATCTTTGACCTTTACTAGCTCTGTGACCTTGGGCAAATTACTTAACCAACTAATTGTATTTCTCTATCTATAAAATGGGGAGAACCTACCTCATAGAGTTGTTGTAAGGATTAAATTAGTACAATATAAAGCATTTAAAAATTTGGCATACAGCAAACAATAAATGTTAACCATTATTATTTGGGAAATTATTAAGTAAATATTTCTCAAATCTTAGTGAGTCTATGGACTAGGGTAATGTTGGTAATGGGAGACAGAGATATTTAGTCATGGAATCAGTACCAGGTACTTCTGCCTGGTAGAACAACATGAAATCTGGCCCAAAATCTGCACTAGCCTCAAGTAAAGAATTAGTTTGTTAAAAGCTCACACTCAGAATGCGTAGTGAACCATTCCAAGGCTCTGCAAGAGTGGAGCTTCTGATAGTCTATCATAGAGAACATAGCTCTTTGCACCTACCGCAAGAAAGGTGGAAGTATAGCTGAACATAACTGGAGAAAAAATAACTGGGTATGTAGAGAAGATGCTTCATAAAAACCTATGCAATAATTAAATAAATGAATATTTACCTTGAGTTGTTCTTTGAAAGCAAAGTATTTTCCAGAGCAATTAAGTTCATAGCTGAGCTGGCACTTCTGTTCCTCCAGGGTTTCACTATCCATATCACTCCCCAGTTTGGCTGCCTGTTTTCCAAACATCCTGTGATACTCATCCAGAATGGCTCTAGAAATGTTCTTGATCTGCATGTGGTAGTCACTCACCGCCTAGGAAAATACAAAATGTCTGGTAAAGAGGCCTCTGTAGAGGTCAAGCTGTAGAATGGAAGTCTGAAACTGGCTTGGGTTTTACGTTCAATAATACTTTAGGTATAAATTGCCCTTTTCTTCCCAGCTCAGAGACTACCAGGCAAAAATTAAACACTGTACTATTCACTGTACACCAGCGGTCACAACCAGAACCAGGAAGGAAAATATGTGAAGCTACAATTTCTCACCCCTTCTAGAAAACATACTGAAGAGTCCCTGCCTTATTTTCAAATGAGTGCACTTAACACCTTATTACTTATAGCATCACCTTGGCTTTGGCACTTGCCTTCTGAGCTCCTCCCGTCCGACGGGTAAGAGGTGGCCTTGGAGGAATCATTTCCTTGACACTGTATCAGAAAAACAACAACAACAACAACTTTATTATCTGCAGATTTACGTTCTCTTATCTCCTACCTCTGAAGAGTCTGGGTGGGGGAGATCTAAGGTCTGTTCCCCCATCACATTTGAGCAATGTGCTATTCTCTCATGTAAAAGCCTAAATGTGACCCCCAGAACAGTATATGGCTATGGACTAGGTAGGAAGGAAGCCAGGAAGCAGCTACTCAGAGAGTAGCTAAATTGTACTTTTGGCTAATTTGACCCCTGGCTTTACCCTTACACATTTTTTTAAACTGTTGTTGTGTACAAAAGGCTGCTTGACTCAGGCGCTGGAAAGAAATGGGTGTTATGATTTTAGGTGCACTCAGTAGAGCCTCTGAAAGGACAAAGTTTTGGAAATCTAAATGGCACAGGCAAGTGAAAGCTTTTCTTTCCTCTCCATCTAGGATAAAAAGTGTACTCTTGGTCATAATTTATAAGACTGCATTAAATTACAATAATGATATCAGACTTTATGGTGAGTAAGAAAATACATTTTGTCACTGTCAAACCACTTATGCCAAAACTCTACCTTCTATTTTCAGGAGAACTTACAAGAACCTAGAGGAAATTAAGTTATAGCTCTTCCTCCTTATAGTTTCAGATTCCTGCTGAAATATATTATAGTACCTTGAAGTTTACAATCAAATTCACAAATTCAATTTTTCTTTTATAGGTAATTGTATACCTCTGCTCATAATTTCTAATTTTAATTTTATTTAATTAGGACTATATCCTTCCTTATGATTCAAAACTTAAGGTATAAAATAATATATAATAAACAGTCTCCTTCCAACCTTGTTGTCCAGACACCCAATTTCATCTCCAGAGACAATGTTATTTATTCATTCTTGCAAAATATATACTGAGTGCCTACTATCCATCAGGCACTTTTCTAGGTCCTGAGGATAGAGTATTAAACAAAACAGACAAAAATTCTTGCCCTCATGGAGCTTACATTCTAGTGCAGAAAGAAAGATAATAAACAAGATAAATAATTAAGATAAATATGTTAGTGATATGTACCATGGAGAAAAATAATACAAGAAGGCAGATAGACTATGTTGCGGCCTGGGGGTGGTGGAGTAGGGGAGCATATTTCACCAGGGAAAGCCTCACTGAGATGATAAAATTTGAGCGAAGATCTGAGGGAAGTGAGGAGCAAGTCATGTAGATATCTGGTATAAGGAAATTACAGGCAAAGGGAACAGCAAGTGTAAAGGTCTTGCTGCAAGAGTGTGCCTGGCATGTGTGCAGAATAGTAGGGAGGCCAGTTTGGCTGGACTGAAAAAGTGAGGGCAAAGTACATACAGAATACATAGGCCCTTGTAGGCCATTGTAAGGACTTTGACTTTTACTCAGAGTGTGATGGAGAGTCACTGGTAGTTTCTGAGCAGAGGAGTTACATGAGTTGACTTCCTTTTTAATACAACCATTATAGAATGCTGTATTAAGAATAAACTGCCCAAATATCCATCAACTGAAGAATGGAAAAAGAAAATGTGGTATATCCATACAATGAAATATTATTCAACAATAAAGAAATGAAGTACTGATACATGCTATAGTATGGATGAACCTTGACAGCATCATGTTAAATGAAAGAAGCCAGTCACAAAGACCACATATTTTATGATTCCATTTATATGAAACGTCTAGATTTAGCAAATCTATACAAACAAAAAGTAGACAAGTGGTTGCCTAGGGCTGTCTGGTAGGGGTGGGAGGGTTGGCATGAGGGTTGGGAAGAAATATAGAAATGTAGAGTGACTGCTAACATATATGGGGTTTCTATTAGGGGTAACAAAACTGTTATAAAGTTGATTGTGGTGATGGCTGTACAACTCTGTGAGTATACTAAAAGTCATTGAATTGTACACTTTAAATGGATGAATTGAATGATCTATGAATTATATCTCAATAAAGCTGTTACTTTAGAAAAAAAGAATAAACTGAAGGGTGGAATGGTAGATGCAGGGAGACCAGGTGAGAGATTACTATGGCTCTGACCAGAGAGTTTGTGAGAATTAGATATACAAATCTGGAGTTCAGGAGAGAGGTCCAGGCTTGATATATAAATTTGGGAGCCATCAGCACATAGATGGTATTTAGAGCCATGAGACTGGATAGAAACCAAGGGAGTGAGTGTAGACTGAAAAGAAGTCCAGGGACTGAGCTCTGAGGGACTCCAACATTTAGAGGCTGGAGAGATAACAAAGGCCAGAGAGAGAGGAATAAAACCAGGAGAGTATGGTGTCCTGAAAGCCAGATAAAGAAAGTGCTTCAAGGAGGACTGAGTAGTTAAATGCTGATGACAGGTCACAATGACCCTGAGAGCAGACCACTGGATTTATCAATGTAGTGATCATTAATGGCCTTGCTAAGAATATTTATCTGAGGAGAAGTTATTGGAAGTGAATTACTAGGTTAAAAGATACAGGCATTTGTATTTTAATAGCTATTACCAAATTGCCCTCCACAGGAATTGTATACCAATTTATACTCTCACTAGTCGGTATGAGAGGACCTGTTTCCGAATATTCTTATCAATAACATAATGAGTTATCAAGCCTTTTTCTTCTTCTGCAATTAAAAAAAAACAAGGTATTTCAGGGTGTTTTTTTTTTAATTTTTGTGAGGAAGATCAGCCCTGAGCTAACATCCATGCTAATCCTCCTCTTTTTTTGCTGAGGAAGACCAGCTCTGAGCTAACATCTATTGCCA